CGTGCAGAATTCCTATATAGCTTCAGATTTAATTTGTGAATTTGTATTTAGAGTAAACTCATTATTGAAATTTATTGAAATATGATAAACAAAACTTTTCTGGGGAATATTTTCTATGCAAACATTCTCTGCTACTAAAAGAGTGTACGCTATTTCACGGACAAATATTTTAATCTTTGCAAGATTTTTTTTCAGTTGAATAGATTTCGGATAAAATATCCTTTAATGTTAAATGAAGGCAAAGAAAATTTTGTCATAATTGAAATGTATATGTATTTTCAACACTATGATTGTCGAAATATTGGCATTTCGCTCGCCATGTTCGCCAATCTTCTTGAATGCAACTGACATTCAAAACTTCATCACCGTGAAAATAAAAGAACATTGGCCAACCTTTCTGCACTTTTGCTATTTCAAAATTTCGTACTAAAGTCTGACTAAAATTACGTATAAAACTATATAATCAGTTTTACGAGCATTTATAAATCTGCTGCTAGCAATAATTGTTTTGAAAACTCGTAAACAGTCCTATAACTACAGAGTATAATGTCAAGGATTAGCCCGAATGCGCTAAACAACTTCAAAAGTGAGCCTTATCTGTGATTGGCTGAGTCAACTGTGGGCAGTGTTCGAATATTCAGAACCCTGTGCAATCACACAGACAGAGTTTCCTTTCCCGGCAATAAAACAGTCGTAAAAATATCATAAAGCTCGCCACTTGTTAAATTTATGTAATCCTGTGATTTTGTTTTCCCTATGATTTCAATATTTTATTGACGATTACACTTAACTAATCATCCTATATCAATGTGGGTTTGGCAAATGAAAAAGCTTTTTCTCTACACCGTTACTGAATTATCAGAAATGAGCTGTTCTTTTTCCAAAATGGCTGTATGAATTATATGTAAAGTACAAGTTTTATAACATACAGATCCTTATGTATTACTAGCTCATAAAATCTAGTCGTAAAAATAAAACTGATCCGGTAGAAAAGACGCCAACACTGACACGTGTCAATTCCGCGTTAATAAGCGCATTGGTGAGCATCAAAAAAGCGCAGACTCTACTTGGAACATCCACGTGATCATTATGTTTCCGTTATTATGACTGCATCCTTTAGAAGTAAGCTTAACTTACATCATATTAATTGATATTTTCGTGGAGTTATGGTGGTTATGCCATTTGGCGTGGGAGAAAAAAGTCTCTCTTAGGGGGCTAAAAGCTGTTATCATTGTCAGAATAAAGCAACACGTTAATGTAGGATCTTCTAAAAATACATGAAATATTTCAACATTTTGTCCATGACTATAAATAGACATGGTTGAAAAACAATTTTGAACAAAATTAATGTTCTTTGAAACTAATGTGTTCAGTTTCAAGACCATTTCATTCTATTTGATACACATGAGCCTTGAATTATTTCAACGGTCGTAGTACCACGATTTACTATCTATGATTCCGATATTTTAATTTCAAAAGGTTTCTTTATATGGATAACTGTTTTAAGAGTTCTGACTTTTTTATATTTTGTATGCAAATGGTAATCTTAAGTATATCAATAAGTTTAAGTGGTTCCATTTCTAAGGATGAATTTTTGAATCATGGATCAGGGTTAATTTTTTCCCCCTATTTGACAGCAAAGACATCTGCTTTTTCAATAAGATTAATTTACCTTGTCACTGGTCATTCACAAAATTATTTGTTAAAAAAACGCTGATTGTACACAAGTGCTCCGATGTTGATTTCAATAAAATTGTAGAGTTTCTGACTATATATATTTATTTTTGAAATTAATCAGGTCTTCCAACAATCTTTAGGAAATACAGTGTTCAAACTGCGCCGCTATAAGCGGACATATTTTTTGCATTGATATGGAGCAGAATTATTTTTTTTTAAATCATGAGAAGAAAACACTTGTCATTGCAAGCCTGGTTTTTAGCACAAATTAAGTTCACATTCTTCTAGCAATAAAACTAAGCATTATCGAACTTAATTTCAAGACATTAGCCTAATATGTGTTACATATCTCATGGCAAAGGTACATTATATTCTTTAAAATCAGCTCAAGTTTTCAAAGTTGATATCTTAAAGTGGACTTATTGAATAAGTCGTATGTTACATCTGTATGATTCTATCATATGTATTTGCAAATTAAATTTATCGACCTTTGATATATTTATCTGAAATTTTCCAAGTAACTGACTTCTTAAAGATCAGTGTTTTCTTCTGAGTACTTTGCAAATTTACTCGTCTTGATTTTGTTGAAATGTGGCATAGAAAAATGACAATGTTGTCTAAAGAAATTAAGCCAAAAGATGGGATATCAACGTATGGCTTATCCCTTAAAATAGTAAATTGTTTACATAGAAAATTATTTTACATTAAGGGTCTTAAACTTTCAAACTTTGCGATGTGGAGTGTCTTTCATGATGCTAGATTTCAGAAAGTAATTCTTTAAAATGCTAGCTTTTTAACATGTAAAACAATCGAACAGATAAAAACTACTGTTATCATCTTGTGCTTTAGAGTCATGTTAATGCATAGAAAATACAGATGTTACACGAGCTGTACCATTTCTGTTTCTAGGCAAGGCAAAGAACTGCTAGCAAAACAGATACAAAGATGGCTGCATTTAACGAGAAACCATGAAAAACCACTTGAGAGCTATCACAATGCATCAACCAAGAGCTTATCAAAATCTTACCAATTAATTTGTATAAATCATGTCGTAAGTAAGTGAAATAAAATTAAAATTAAGTTAATTTTTTATAATATTTTGTTGCCTTGTTACACAAATTCGCAGTGTGACCTTAATTTATGCGAATAAGCATGTAAGTTTAAAAAGTGCGGGGAGCTGTAGATGCTTTATTATTCAATGAGGTATTGAAAATTATTTTCATCAGCAAAATTACTGATGCCTAAACTAAATGATTAAATTTTTAAATTAACATTCTTCTTAAACAAATAAACAGCTCAGCGCACTTTTTAAACTAACAAAGTTTTTCGCACAAATCAACGTCATATTGTTACAATGCCAAATTGTGTAACAAGGCAACATGATACATTTTAAAAAAGAATTATAACTTAATTTTAAATACATTTCATTAACTTAAAACATAAATTCACACATAATCATCGGTAGGATTTAGATATGCTCTCGGTTGATAGATTATGACAGTTCCCAAATGGTTTTCGTGGTTTCTCGACACATGCTGCCGTCTTTTATCTGTTCTTTAGAAAGCTGTCCTTTCCCTTGCCTACACAGAAACAGAGCAGCTTATGTAACTTATTTCCTTTAAGATGACTCTAAAGCGCAAGATGCTAACAGTATTTTTCAGTTGTTTGACTACTTTCCATGTTAAAAGCTGGTATGTTTCAGAGAGTTACTTTCTGAAATCTAGCATCATGAGAGATATGTCCCACGCAAAATCTTAAAGCTTCAGACCCTAAATGTAAACGAATGTTCATTTTACTATTTTAAAAGATTAACAATACTTTATTATCCTATCTTTTGGCATATTTTCTATATGCAGCATTGTCATTTTTCAGCGCTAAATTTCAACAAAACCAAGACGAGTATGGTAAATATGCAAAGTTCTTAGAAAAATACTCATCTTTATGAATTCGGTTTGAAAATTGCAAATATAAAGAGTATCAAAAAAAGTTCAATAAATTCAAATTGTAAATACCTATGGTAGAATGATACAGATGTAACATCATACCGTTTGTTAATACAGCCCCCTTTAAAGCATCGACTGTGACAACTAAACAATGTTTTAAAGAATATGTACCTTTGACTTGAGATGTTGTCGAGTATTTTAAAACTGAACTTCCTTCTTACTTATTGAAGAACTACATTTTTTTTAACTTGCAGGACAATTTATCATTAAAGGGGCATGGGCATAGTTTCAACTGAAATTTTTCTTACCAATTTTAATGTTTACAATTCCTAACTAAGGCAATTCTAATGATCAGCAAGAATTTGAACACCATTTGTTAATTTACTAAGGAGATGCAGAACTTAGAATTCTTCATAATGTAAACAAGGCTCATGCCTTGTTTTTGTTTACATATAGAAATATCATGTTTATAACAAAACGAGATTCAGCAAATCACTAGAAACTGTCTAATTGTAATTAGAATTAACTAATCTGCTTTGAACGAACATATATTAGCATCTTTAACCTACTGGTATGTAAACAAAAACATGGTAACTGGGCCTTGATTCGTCACCACATGCAAAACAAAGGTTGGGAGCTCGTGCCACACCTGCTGTCTGTCTTGTTTCGCCTTTTACGACAAGACAACTGAAATTCGAAATTTTGATGAACATTAGAAATACATTAGACCTTAGTTAAGAATTTGTAAACATAAAAAATGGAATGAAATTTTTTTGGCTGAAACTGTGTCCATGCCCCTTTAAGTCAAATGCTGACTGACTTTTTCCATACTGATTGTTAGAACATTATTTACACACTGAGTTGTCCAAATTTTTTTCTTTTTTTCGCCAACATGACAAGGAGCACACGGCGGGTGTGACCGATCGGAGAGGACGCTCACTCCTCCATGGCACCTGATCCAAACCCTGATGTTTTGGAGGTCCGTGTTTGCTCCGCTCCAATTTCGTAATATTTCATGGATTTCTGACTCGAATACTCTTCGTTATCTCCACATATTTCACTTAAAGTAACTTAGTGGATTGTTTATAAATTTTTAAAACCATAATGTCAGATTTCACCTGAAAAGTTGCAATCTGATGAATCTTTCACCAACGGACAAATTTCAATCAGAAAGCTGTTGTGGATTCTGCTAAGGTGAGGTAAAGGAAATGCGCTGTCATGACACATTACACACCCCTCAAACATTAATTATTAAATAAATTAGTAAGCTTCAGAGAAAATCATTTTAGCCTTTGTACAAAGAGTTCAATAAAAAGAACAAGAAATGCATCATATATTTCTCAATTAATAGTTGTATTGGAGTAACACAAAAGCCAATTCTGTAGCTTTGTTCATTGTATTTTTCATGAATAATGAACAATGTCAAAGCCTTATAAAACGTTGATATCAAAATGCTTATCATTATTTTTTTTTCTTCTAACGAAAATGTTGAACTTTATTGCAACGGTCTTTCATTGTTTGAGACACGGTACACTTCAATTTGGTAGATGAGATATAAATAAAAATGAAATTAGAAAAAAAAAATAATTGTAAACCAAACTAATATAACTCTTAAGTTTTGAAGATGAAAGTCTGGCTATGAAAAAACTATTAGTATCTATAACTTATTTTGACAGATGCTATTAGTTGCAATCAAGAGACTAGTCAATTTCTCAGGGCAATTCCCAAAAGATATGGATAAATCTCATCAATATACTCATTCTAATAATATAAGATGTATATCGTCTTATACTTTTTTTTTGTTTTTTTTTTACATTTTTAAGGATAATTTTCCTTTAAAACTAAGCTGAAATTTTTCAAAACTTGACATTAATTGAAAGTCATAATGACCTTGATGCGGGATGCAACACACCCACTACCTTATAATTTGGTAAGATGCATTGAATGAGCAAATTTGATGATTCTACATCTTACCGTTTTTCCATATCATCGTAATTAAAGTTACATGGACCTGTTTTTGATGTGCGATGGATGGACATGCACATAATACTGTAATGGTTCCAACCCAAAAATTGGCGAGAAAAAAACGGTAAAAGGCAGGAAGAGAAATATAAAAAAAAAATGAACAAATTAAATTGGGTCTTAATACAAAAATACCTTACTAAAATGTTTCAGTTGAAACGCTGACATTTCATCAATGCTTTGTACAGTGTATAATACCTTTTACGAGTAGTCACTATTTATTTCTGTATTACAATTCATCAACTGACAACTACAGAGCCCTAGGCTTATAGAATTCATTATAAAAAACACTCTCTTGGAGCTTCTAGCAAATCAATAAACATAATCTTTAATCTTTTTCATTCATAAAATCATGAAATAAAAAAGAGAAAACAACCAAACACGTAAAATCGTTCAACGGTCATTTTCACAATTTATAATTTTTTCAGTGATCGACTTATTGTCCCGTATAGTAATATATACACAAAACAAATCAAAATATTTATAAAGTTTGTTTCATTTACAGTTTCCATTTCCATCAAAACACTAGAAACATGTTCTTTAATTGCTTTAACGTCCTTAATTATGTCATAAAACAAGCAACAAAACAGCTAATTTGCTTGACACGGCCTTTCGTCGTTAATTCCTCCAGCCTACCCACTGTTACCGCAGACCCAGGCGTTTCTTTTCTTTCTCCTTCTTCCGTACAATTTCAATATTTCTGTCTTTCCATGAACTCTTCCTTAATTTGATTGGACGGTTACCCACGTATTTTCCTGAAAAGATAAAAAAAACATTCACTTTTGCTTTTCGAATGAAATAACGAGTGAAGGCCAAAACAAGTTTCAGAAATATTATATATTGAATTGTATACAGTAAAAAAATATATAATAAATAAGACAATTTTAGTTTAAGTCTTTGTGTGAAATTTTCAAAACTTTGACATACTTGCTTTTAATTTTTAGCTTTACCTTTATATGCTTATTTTTACACAGGAGCACGTGCAAAAACAGTGTGAAATGCTAAAAATAGATTATCTTCAGACATTTTTACTTCGAAATAAGTATTTAATTTATATGACTTTATTTTTAAAAAAGTTTCATTGTAATTCACCTCGCATGAAAAATTATAAAGGAGGTATCACCCCGGTCGTATTTTTTACAATTCCGACATGCATAACAGGTAATATATCTTTGTGTGAAAATGTTGTAATTAATATAAAATTTGCGAGAAATATGATGTCTGTCATAAATTTCTTTCTTATATAATAATGATTATTATAATAATGAAATTGAAATAAATCAATAAAATTTGCAGTTTTATCCAGAAAATACAAGTTGGTAATCATAAAATTAAACATATTTCCCTGATTTTTTTGCATATATTTTTTTGCATTTTTATATCAGCATATCAAGGTATTTCTTCACAATGAAATTGCTATGCACCAAAGGAAGAGAATTCTAATATTAACAAACTCCATAAATCAAATAAAACTGTTATAAATGATGAAAAAAAATTCTTTTTGTAAAATGTGTACGTTATTGCTTAATAATAATGTTATGCCTATAATCACAGTTGCAAAAGTCAGCGGGAGAAAACAGACGTCGCTATTGTTAAACCTGCGGTATTGCATTTCCATCCCAAACAATGACAAAGTATAAATGAAAGTGCCTATTTTTCCTTCATTGATGCTTTGCAACTTTAGCTTGGTCAAATAAAAAAATGAAAAATATTTTAAAGTGTCATTTTTAATGAAAAATTAAGAAAACCAGTCATGAAAATGGGAGTTTTTTTTCGTATTCGGCAAAGAAAATGCATCCAGATTGCCTACAGTCTTTCAGAAAACGGTAATTAGTATGTTCATGGCCTTTTCTGTAAATCAATATCAAATTTAATATAGGTATCCGGTTTACTTTTCATATGATTTCAAATTGAATGACATGAAAAAACCCTATCTTCTACATAATTCTGCTAATGCCGTAAAGTACGGGAAAAAGAAAGTTGAAATTGATTATGACGTCATAATGGATCTAGCACCAAAAAATTAGTCTCAAGTTATTTACTAGATCTTGACCTTAATAAGATTTTTTATTAACAAAGTTTCAAATTCCTCAGGAGGAGGGGGTTCATATTAAATATCATATAAAATTTGCTGATGTCTTTCCTTATATAATAATGATGATGAAATTGAAATTCAAGTTGATATGACATGCAGTTGGTCACATGATCCGATTGTCTTGCATATGGAAAGCTAACTGCACGAGCCATTTGGAAAGTTCAGATAGTGACGTCGTAGAAACGTTATGTTGCATTTCCATAACAAAGTCTAAATATTGCCTTTTTTTTCTTGTCACACGAATAAAAAAAGAAAATATAAATATAAGAAATACAAGTTTCACTTGTGATGCTGAAGTCGGTAGTGATCAAATATATATAACGAAGGGCTTGCAAAATGTGAAACGGACTTCATTATTGGATAAATATCTAATATTACAAATCACTTGCGAAACAAAGTGTGAAAATATATCATTAAAAACATTGAATGTATGTAAACTTAGTACTGAAATGTCGGCAAAAATGTCATGAATCTTTGAAGAAATTTTATGATCAGAATGTTATGAAACTGATAGACGATAAACACCCTCCCACAACTAGTCTAAGAGAGGTTTTCACGTTTTGTTTGCTCAGTACCATTGCATGTATGTACAATATCAGACCTTGCTACATCCTAGACACAGGGTTTATTAAGCAATAAATCGTGCGCATACAGTTCTCAATTTTACTACAGCAAATTTCCAGAAGTCGTTATCAACACGCACCAAGATCATAATACAATGGAACTCCCCTTTACACCCTTTCTGTGATTGTTTAGCACCTGTTCATCCCACAGAAGTACAGTAATTCTGTCCAATAAGTTCGGGAATTTATAAATACCAATAACTAAAATGATCATTTTAATTCACTGTCTTCTACCATTTTCTCTCTTACAAAACAGTTTCGAACTGATCTCATTATTTTTTTCATTTTTGAATGAAAAGGGTGAAGATAACAAACAGGGATCGATCTCAAAAAATCTTATATATCAATAATGTAAACTGTGAACAGTGCATAAATACGGACTCTGGAAATTTCAAAGGTGGGATCAGGTGCCTAGAAGGAGTAAGCATTCTCTGTCGACTGGTCACACTCTGCCCAGGAGCAGAGGAGAAGATTTTCAAAGATTGCATTAATTTTAGTGGTTTTGGCCCCACCCCTTAGGACCCAGGGGGGAAAGGGACCATGAAATTCACAATTTCTGTTCCCCTTAACCCATAGATGGTGTATACCAAATTTGGTTGAAATTGGTTCAGTGGTTCCAGAGAAGAAACTAAAAAATTTCAAAAGTTTACGACCGACGTACGACTACGGACGAAAACAGATAGCTATAGGTCACCTGCGTTTACTCATTTGGATCTTTTTTTTAACTACCCCACACAATTTCGTTGTCCCTTAATTATCTTTTTTTTTCGTAAAGAGCTGGCTCCCTCCTTAATCGAACAAATATATTAATCACTATAAAGTAAAAATACGATACGAGTATTTAAGATAAGGTTTGATTTGTTTGTTTGCTATATAACTTCCCTTTTGAGAATTTTTTTTCAACTTGGTGGAGCTAGATGCCATCGCATTTACGCATGACGACGGATGAAACTCAGAGTAATACAGCACATGTACGTCTCTCGAGTGAAAAAAATCTTGGAATACTTCAAAGAAAATTCTCAGTCATTATATACTTATTTCTTACCCTTATTGAGACGCCACCACGTTTACGCGTACGAAACGACGCACGGCGACGGACGAAACTGAGACAGTATATGTACGTCATTCGAGTGAATAAAAAAATCTTGGTATACTTGAAAGAAAATTCCCAGTCATTATACTCATTTTGCCTGATGGTAATTTTCCTTTTTTATCAATAAAATAAATGTGTCTCTTCCAGTGAAACTTTGTTTTGTTCACGACCGCGAAAATATTCATGTATGAAACAAATAGCTTGCAACCCCAAGAACATCGTGTATTTTTATTATCGAAGAATATTTACATATGATATTATACTAGTGATTTTTTTTATCTCGAACAAACAACTATAGGTACCTTATTTATGAACAATGGGATGAATTCCGTCGAGTTTTTAAAGATGATATGTAGAATCAAATCGTGCAATTTTTCAACATCCTTATTTACTTACTAAAGGAAAATTTCGAAGGTTTTTGTGATCTCCTGATTAGCATATCTCGGTTTCAGAACCTGTTGATCTTTTTCATTTATTCATGCTGGGTACTTGAATTAGAAAATATCAGCGACTTCTTTTAAATACGTAGATAGGTGAAAAACCCTCATGACCCTTAACAAAAGGTGATAAGGAAGATATAGGTATTTTTTTAATAACCAAAATGAAATTTACATCATTGTAAATTTACTGGAAGAGGTGAATTACCAAATCATAATTATGCCATAGAGCTATATATGGAAAGGTAATTAAAATTGACGATGCAGAAATAAGCAAGATTCAATGACTGTTTTTTTTTACTCTGAGGAAATGTTCGGCTCCAAAATACTGAGTATATTACAGCAAACTTGGATATATAATTTATTTTATTATACCTTTTACTTTACAAATAAATCGCAATAAAAATCTAGTATTGCCAAGGACTTTGCCAAAGGGTAATAAGAACAAGGAATAGGAAGATACCAAAATAAAGAAATTGTCGTTTTATGAACTTACTGTATCACGAATGTATGATGCATTGAATAATCATTGCGCAGTGTATGAATGCCATAGGAGATTCTAGCGAATATTTATTGAAATATCCTTGCTTTATTAATTTAAGTTTTAAAGAAGGTTTGCTTCTACAATTATAAACAAAGCATTTTTTGAACTTTCGAATTGTAATCAAAAAATCATAAAAAGAGGAAAATTAACGCAAATTCGTGATAATTTAAATTACTCGTGTTAAGCAATGTTTCGCCTCTTTTTTTCAAGGACAAGAAAACATCCGACAAATGAAATAATGTACAAGTTTCTTATGAGTTGTGAAACAGAATCAAGGTAAAATGTTCCAAATATTTTTCTTAGCTATAAAAACCGAGTTTCAAATAACTAATCAATCACGTTGCAATGAAATAGGATTGGATATGAAATTGATTGTAGCATGTCATAGGCGCGCATTATGTACTAGTTCTGTAAGCTGTATAAATATTGGCTTTGCTTTCGCTACACTTCGCATACATTTACTAAGGTAGGATCACAGCAACATCCAGGATCTACCTCTAAAAGGTAACTCTTACTCCTATCAAGGTTTAGCCGAACTTTACAATCACTTGTAATTAAAAAGTTAAATTCTATAATCAATAAAATAATTTATGATAACTTTTTGCATTCATTTTTAATTGCTATTTTATTTGTTTTTCATTTGTTTTTCAAGTTTTGCCTATAATTTTCTTTTACTTTTTCATTTTTTTTTTGGCTGGATTAGTATAAGAGGGGAAAATGATTGCACTGTGGCAAAACATATATATTATTATTTCAGTAAAGAACAAGTAAAGAAATAGTTTTTAGGAATCTTTATTGGCCTTTACATGTATATAATATAAACTATATAAAAAAAATTCATGATACTGAAGTTAAAACTGGATTCAATGACATTTTAATCAACATTGCTGTGAAACGTTCTGAATGTAATCAATAAGTTACAAGGCACTTAAACCAGAAATTAGCGATCGCCAGGGTCATTAGGTTGTGGTTTTGAAATCTTGATAAGCTTTTCGCGTCAATAGAATATATTTTTTACTGCACGATACTCTTATATGTTGGCGTTCGAAAATATATCAGAATGTGCCCAGAATTTACTCGAAGAAAAAATTCCTTCACCTACCTTTACTATTTTTCTACTGTACGTCATGTGAACATTATATGTTTAAATTTATGAATATTCAAGGAACGCAAAAATTAAAGCATGCCATCTTCTAGAGCTCAATTTTGTTTTTGCATCCATCCTCCATAATTGAAAATATAAAGCACAAGACGTAAAGTAAACCATTCCATTTCAAGTTTTGTTGATCAAAATTAGTTTTCAGTAGATGTCAAAATTTTAGATTTAAACATATTTCATTTAATTTAAACAAAGCTTGAACAAGTGGACAATATTGAGGTGGCATCAAAATAATTTTATTCAGTTGTCGGCAATTTAAAAGAAAATGTTGGTTTTTGATTCAAATTGCTCTTTCACTACCGATCTTTTCTGGAGAAAGTTGTTATAAATTTAAAGAAGAAAAAACGTATTTTTCTTTTCTGATATTCAAAAATTAGTAATACAGTTACCGTAACATAATTTCATAATTTATTTTATACATACAGAATAATTATATAGTGACAAATGGTGAAAGTAGAATTTCTGCTCAAAAGCTCAAATAGAAATCATTCTAACAAACATTCTACCACGAAAATTTAAAAAATAACGTTATCACGCAGAGGTAATAAAAGGTGAAGAGTTACTGGAGAACTTAGACAGTGTTAAACTCCAAATACGTGTGTATATAGACATCGTGATGTCTTAATCGTTGGAATCAACTTCAGTCGGGTCCAACCTATGGCTAAGGCTTCAAATTCTCATCTTAATAGTACGTAATATGTCATGCCGCCTGAAAAACTGATGTTTCTTGCGAAGGGTTTTGGCACCCTTGTTGTTCTCGTCTTAATAGAAGGTCAGGCCACCTTAAAAACTGATTTTTTTTGCAAAGGGTGTTGGCACCATTAAAAAAATTTACAAAAAGTGCAACAAACCACTTTATCTATAACCCACCACGTCTCAATATTGTTAGAAAAAACAGCCTCAAGGATGTTTGGCTATATTTGTACTCTAAAACCTTATATCATTACAAGTACTTTTTATATTACATATTCGTAGTCTGCGGCCAAGTCCATCTAATACATGTATATGAAAACACACCTACATGAGGTACTTCATCAGCAGTTGGTGATTACTAAATGGGAGTAAAAAAATATATCATCGGGATGTATATACATGTATACTACACATCTCAAAAGTATTGTATGTCATTTTGTAGATACCGGGTATTATTTCATCTTAATTAATGAATGCACACCTTTGTATTTTTAATAAAAGTAAAATTAAATTATCATTGGGAAGATGTTTCAGTTCAGACTTATTACTTCAATGGTTAAATAATGCACTTTACCTAATAAGTGAAACAAAATATGTATGTGAAGCATTGATGCCCTCGCATGCTGGCATTTGGCGAAGTTGTAAATTTATCGAAGCAAACCCCCAAGGTCAGGTCAAGAGATAAAAAATATTGTTACCCAAAGAAAGGTCTTGTCCCAATAATTCTACAAATAAAGATCCTTTTAAAAAGTAGGTCAAGGGCATGTTCAGCAAATGCGTGCATAATCTCACATGGGGAAATGTGTTTGAATTCGTTCAAAGAACACAAGAATTATATACTTGTACATTTTTTTTCTTTCCAGGAAAACAAAATAAGAAAGAAAACAAAATTTGGACATGAATTAAAACGTTTTATTTCTTTCCAGAAACACCCCTGTATAATGTCCACTTTCCACTTGGTTTTACTCGGCCTTTTGATTGCTGTTACTTTCTGTGACAAAAGACAGGGTGTGTTTGGACCGTGCCAGGGGTGGGGCGCAGGCTGCACCAGTTACCATAGTTACAGACCGATTCCACAGCCCCCTACCCGAAAAATTACGAGAAATGTTCACAAGACTCCTAGTTACATGTTTACGTCAGGTGAGTATGGTGAGCAATTCACCTAGTTTTATACTAATCAGCTTTGGTAACTGCTTAATTAATGGAATAAGAAGGAGCGTATTTTTTAATTAGACAAATAAGATTACGAGGCAATTATAGTAAAACTTGTGACATTTGCCTTACTCGTGTACTCGTTTTCCGGTTAATGCGATGCGTTCCAATTCCCTTTATGGTAACCTATATTTTTGTGTTGCTCACATTTTTTTATGTTATATACGGGCGGGTAGCATCTACATGCAATTAAATTTCAGAAAATGTACACCTGTAACATTTCATATGTTTCGGCCGTTACAATAAACATTTAATACTAGTAGTTTCCAACAAATTTGTGATTTAAGATTCGCTCATTGCTTGTATCTCTAAAGCAATGGCAAAGTCCTTATTTGCTTCTTAACTAGATCAAGATGTATGGCTCGCTTGAGGATAACCACGAATAGCTGCATATTTAGCTCAACTCCGAGGACATAGGGATGGTTATGAACAAAGAGTGTAACAACTTATAACATCCATACAGGAAAAGATAATTTTCTTCAATGTTTTCCCACTAAAATGACCATCTTACCAAGAGCATTCGGGATATCCTTCTAAGAGAGAGATGGGATGTTGCAATACCCCTAGATTCGGGGTAACTTAGAATATTCAAGAATAGGGGTCTTAGGAAGAACATTATTTCGTATTATCCTTTATTTCGTATATTAGGAGTGTAATAGTTGAGCAAAGTAAATACGAAATAAATCATAGTGAAATTTAACTTCCTGTCATAGACAAGGGTCGGTAAGCTATTACGAAACGTTCAATGGGCTCACTTGACGATTACGCGCCAACCCTAATGACGGCCTGAAGCAGACGACACCTCTTGATAAATGTAAACTTTCAAAATTCTTGAGAAAATTGGAGAATATTTTCACAGAGTTGCTTGAATTATCAATGGAGAATTAATAGGTAGTCATCAATCAAATTTCTGCAGATTTTTCCTTATGAAATATGAATGTTTTAAAAAAAACGTTGCTGACTTTGCTCTACGGGCAAAAAATCGCGTATTTTAGCTATTTACAGGATAAGAAAGAGGAGTGTAAATAATAGCCTCTGACTCTTTCTAGTTCTTTACAACCAAAAGTAATCTAAAAGTGATTAGTCCTACCAGAATTTCCCCCCATTTCAATATGATTATCATTATATCGTACGTTTCTCTGCTCATTAGTTATACTAAAGGTACTAGGGATGAAATGATTTTCAATTCATAGCTTCATCGGGTCGTTTGTCTCTTTTGACAAGCAGAAAGTGCTAGGACTTGAAACATTAATTACAAAGAAAATCAAAGAAATCAATTAGCGGATTCGTGTTATAGATTTAACCTTCCTGGCATGAATGACTTTCGTTTCCTACACAGTTTGAACATGATGAAGTTAGGGGCATCAAAAGTTCAGCTTATCTAAAATGAAAGATTCTCATCCGTCTTAAAAAACAGCATCGTTTGAACTTTCTCTTCAAAAACAAAAACGTATTTTAAAAGTATTTTAATAACTTTAGTAACCTTTAATTTTTTTTCTATGCTTAACATTAAGAACATTTCTTTTATATTTCAATGCCTCCTTTTTGAACAAAAACTTAATAATTAATATAAAAATTGCAACAAGTAATAACAGAATGCCCTATGAAAAGGGAATATTGGAAAAGAAATTCTTTAACAGTCTACATGTATGTAACTTTGGAGATTGGAGGAAATGAAAATGAATCAAAGGATTGTGCAAGACAATAAAATTCAGGATAAAAAATAGAAAACATCTGCGACATTTAATGAAAAAATATTACTTTTGAAATAAATGTAATGCAAAATACGTAATTTATTCAAGAAAAAAAATACAACAATATAGTGCATCTTGAAATAAAATCAACAAATTGAATATTTTATGGGGGAAAAGTCACTATATGTGATTGATCTTTTTTATTATTATAGCATAAAGTGCAGATAATAACTAATTCATCCCTCTACTCTTAAAATTAACATTTTTCAATTAAACAAACATTTCACCTATGATGTCTTTTGCATAATTTTTAATTTGTGGGGGATGCACTGCATACAATTGCTAAAAACAGATGATTTCTAAAAATGGATCCATAAAAGAAACAACAGCAAATTTTTATTGCTTTACAGATATAACAACTACGATCTAAATCAAACAGCATGACCATCGTAAACTTAAGCTTATACTCATTTTTCTTCAAAACTGGTTTTTTTACTCATCAAACTTTCATAATAAACCTTAACTTTTATAATACTTTAGGTTCATCATGGAAGCCAATTGGAAAACGAAGAGATGACACAAAGAAGCGGACCTCCTGGTTCACCGACATTCCATACCTTAGAAACCCCTTCCTCTCCTACCCCCGACTCAAAAGTGGATCAGGTATGAACACTCAATGAAACATTCATATAGAAGATTAGTTTGACTACAGACAACATATATCTATAAATACTGTATACAGTGAAACCTTTGCCTCTGTTTTTATTTCGGCTCCTTTTGCAAACACAAAAGTGGGTGAATTCAAAATGGGGCAAATTAAAAATTCATAATTTCTTAAACAAAATTCTGACTGGGCACTTGAACAGGGCAAAATTTTCTGCAAATGTGAAAGGGACTTTATAAAGTGGGATAAAAATAATCCTGTAAATAGCTGGTACTTTAAATTACTAGTAGATATACATAATTAAGCTCCCATCAACCAATATTTTCTTGATTGTTTATGAACACTGAAACCCCCTGCCCAATGAATTAAAAGAATTCCATAATACATGTATATAATATTGGAGAGAGACTGAATTAAAAAGATTCTTTTAAAACATCCTATGCTGCTTTATAAATTTATAAATTATATCCAAACAATAATTGGACCTCCACATTCTTAAAACAAGAACCTTGTTGAGGAAAGTTTATAATAGGTAGATGGCCACATTGCTTTGGGTAAAACTAAAACGTCTACCACTCTTTTTACTCAGGTAGCCGATTTAACTCTCTACACCGAGTGGCCTCATCACAGCAACAAAGACAGCCAGATTTGGTGGAGGTCTAATGAAATCTGTGATCCCTTTCTCTGGAAGGAACAACTCTTTCGAGGGAGAACAACGAATTTCCAGAATTGTTCAATTCAAATGCAATAAAACTGCTCATATAACTTGGTGTCTTTATTTTATAAAAGTCACTATTAATTTTTATGATATAAAAAGTGCAGAAAACAGTGGTTAATCCCATACATCCAGTTAAAAATTCACATACAGGGCAAAAACATGGACCCCTGGAACCACCAGTGGTGGGATCAGGTGCCTTGGAGGAGTAAGCATCCCTGTCAACTGGACACACCCATTGTGAGCCTTACGTATCTATCTTGTAGAGGGAGTACTTCTTAGTCAAAATTAATGACAAAAACAGCAATATCTTACAAATGGTATGAAATATGTTACAAAAATTAAGATTTGACCCAACAATAGGTTGTGTTTACAAACAATTTGTTGTAACGACTAAAGAATTTGTATAAAAAAGAAAGAAAGAAAGAAAAAAGCTGACTTTTGAGGGGTTTGCTGAAATCCATTTAACATTCACCTGTTTGTTAGTAGCTTGCCTCCCTTTTTAAAAACTGATCATATTCAGAGCTTGCTCTTGCACATTGGTTAAGATCAGATTGAGATATAACCACCACATGTAGGTGATGTTTGAATACATAAATAAGGGAAGTTGATGATGGAAAAGCTGAAGTTCATTCTATTTGTCATTTGGTATAGTAATTAGAAAGATATCAAGTTGACATTTAAATAAATGTAACAACTGTTTAAAATGCTAAAACATCAATATATATCTAAATGTTGAGTTGAAAATCACAGCAAGTTTTCTTTTGAGAAGGTTTTGATCAAATTCTGGTTCATAGAAATATATAAGTACAGGTCAGCTTAATAAAGGGAGCAAAAGTCCCTGGCATTCAGATTTCAAACAGATTTTTGAAAGACCTGGTCTCCAAAAACTTAAGCAACTTTTGTCAATAAGGAACTCCTGCTTCTTCAGAGTATTTATATTTAGATTGTAAGACTGATCGAGGGAAGATTTACAAATGTGAAGAGTTTCTGGTATATGCCAGGCAATGAAAAGGATTAATGATCATTGATTTTAGTATTCTTTTCTGTGCTCTGTTACCAAGAAAAGATTCATCAGCCCTGCTTTTTTCCAACACCCTAAATATAGCTAATATAATAACAGTCTAGAAGATGTTCTAAAATAAATTGACATGATTCTCTACAATTCCTTGTATGCACATCACTTAATCATTCCTTGAAAACAAAAATAAAGAAAGGTCAAAGCATGGTCAAGACTAAATTTAGTCTCTTGTTTGATGTGAAAATGAAAAGTGAAAAACTAGTGGGTAGATTCTATAAAATAAGAACCTAAAATGACATTGATTTCAATTACTACATACACAAGAACAAAACAAATGTACCAGTATACATAATGGATAAATTTTTATCAAAGATAAATGTACTTTCAAAAATGAAAAGGACAATGAATGGTGGACAAAAATGGACAGCAAATTCAGATGACCAGAATGGACCATTTTATTACTAATTGAGTAGATTTGGATATTGAATTAAGGTACTCTGATCCTCAGCCAGGAAAGATAATTCTTTAATTTATAATTTAATTCAAAAAGTCTCAAAATGAAGCTTTAAAATTTAATCTTTTCATCCAACAATTTCCATTTTATACTTCTCATTGTGCTCAAGGTTCTTTGAAGTTCTCGGAAAGGTTTTAGAAAAAGTTGAAATTTTTACCCCATAAAAGTATTTTAAAATTACATATTAAAAGAACTTGATGTTCTTTGAATGTTTATAACATGAAATGAAATTAGAATTGATTTATGATGTTTCGCAATGATAAGAAAATCTTTATACACTATGCATTGTGAAATGATCGAAGTAAATAGAAGAAACTCAAGTACCTTATATGTATAAAAAATTGTGCCATTCTTTCAAAGCCTAGATACCTATTCATTTCTAAAATGTGTTCCTTGATGAAATTTGAATTTGAAAATGCATAGTAGGTGTTTTTATTCGTATTTCCTGAATCTTTTTTTAGATATACTAATTTTCCCTATATAGTATGATTAGTTTTAAAGATGAAGTTTGAAGTATTATCATTGGTAAAAACACAATACTTTGAGAATTCAGAAACATTTTTGCAAGCATTTTCAATTACAGTGGACCTTCCCATTTTTCGAATATCATTTTTTTTCACGATTTTTCATTGGAACAAAATTTTTATAAATTAAAAATTTTGATATTGGCTTAAAACTGGTAATTCAGATATACAAATGCTTCACATATCCCTACAAATTGACTAGGAACCATAAAAGCAGTTAAGAATTTTGTGTATGTGTGTGTACCAAATGACATATATCTTATGAACAGAGTGCAAAGTCTTTATTTCCATAAATAATGTTTATTAAATGCTTTATGCTATCACTTGAAATCAATATATAATTTCTAAATTATTTTCAGAAAAAAATTTCAATAGCAAGTGATAACAGAATTTTATATTGATGTGTAAAATTAAAAGATCCTAAAAGTATGGGCTTTTGTAAAATTCTTTAAAACAATTTGATGTTCTTGTAATGTTTATAAACAGAATCTGAAATTAGAATTGATTTATGATGTTTTGCATGATAAGAAAAATCTATATGATTCTAACTGAACAGATGCTGACAAAATAAGGCATATGATTTTATTAATGTTAAAAACTCTTTAGATTATATGAACTTTCTTTAAAGTCTTAATTTAAATAAACAAGAGGCCCAAGAGGCATATTGCTCACCTTACCACATTGGCTCTGAATCAATTAAGCAAGGATTAAGTACATGTACCTTGTATATACTATATACAGGGAATTTTTTGCCCCCGTTTTATTTTCACTCCTTTTGCCCTACCCTCATTTGGGCAAATTTCAAATTGTGCGAATTCAAAGAATACAGTATAATTTCTTAAACAAAACTATGTCAGGGCAAATTTATGTTTGCTAGTAATTCAGGGTGAAAATAACCTGTATACAATAAGCAGTCTAAAACAACCCCCCAAACTAAGGGAAATGATTTGTTCAAACTGAAATCTACATTTACTGAGTAATTTTTGAATATGCTATCACTTGAAATCAATTTCAATTTCTAAACTAAAAAAAAAATTGGAGGTGCTTGCATGATTTTGTCCTGTTACAAGGTTTCAAGCCACTAAAGAGATCCTAATTGTAGCCGATCTTCTAAAACAATTTGTATGCTTGTAATCTCGGAATAAGAAGATTTTTAATGATTTTCCTCATTACATTTCTTTGAACAGATGCTGACAAAATAAGGCATATGATTTTATTAATGTTATAATGTAATAAAAACTCTTTAGATTATATGAACTTTCTTTGAAGTCTTAATTTAAATAAACAAGAGGCCCAAGAGACATATTGTTCACCTTACCACATTGGCTATGAAAGATTTTTTAAAATCATTTTTCAACAATATTTAAATATATAACTTTGATCCCTGTTGTGGCCCCTCTCTGAGGAAAATGCTGTGTCAATTTGAAAAAAAAAAAAATTGATATATACATTGGCTATAGGAGACTTTGATTTGAACTATTTTGATGTGATTTATGGTTTTGCTGTTCTTGAGGAAAAATTTTTATTGATTTTTCCTATACTTTTCTTTACAAAACTTTGGTACCACCTTAGCCCCTATAGACATGATTTGAACAAACCTGAAAGTACACTAGCTGAGGATGTTTCCATGTAAGATTTTCTGTACTATTGGTTCTTATTAAAGGGAATAATTTTTTTAAAATGCCATATATTTTTCACTTATTCATTACTATCTACACTAGGAAGAAGGCCTGGCCCTATATTTCGATAAATTTGAATCCCCCAAACCCCAGGATACGTTGTGGCAAGTTTGGCTAAGATTGGCCCAGTCGTTTTTGAGAAAGATGAACACCATGCACACAAAAAAAGCTCACTTGAACCTTCTGCTTAGGTGATCTAACAAGAGGCCCATGGGCCACATCGCTCACCAGAGTAACTTGGGTGATGCAGTTCTTTACCACATTTCCCCTCTTGCTGTACCTATCATGCCCTCTACCCCCTTCCCTTTTATGATTTTGATACTTTAGAATCTACACTACCCAAGGATGCTTCCACATAAATTTCAGCTTTCCTGGCCCAGTGGTTCTTGAGAAGAGGATTTTTAAAGATTTGTTCTATACTTTTCTATGTAAAGAGAGAGAGATTCGTGTTGATTTTATGGCCCCGCCCTACCCACGGGGTCATGATTTTAACAAATCAATATCTACACTACCCAAGGATGCTTCCACATAAGTTCCAGCTTTCCTGGCCCAGTGGTTCTTGAGAAGAAGATTTTTAAAGATTTGTTCTATATATTTCTATGGAAAACTTGGATTCCGGTTAATTGTGACCCCGACCCTACCCCCCGGGGTCATTTTTTTTTAACAATTGAATATCTACACTACCCAAGGATGCTACCTTATGAGTTTTTCCTTTTGATGCCCAGTGTTTATTTCGTATAAGATTTTTAAAGATTTGTTCTATATATTTCTATGGAAAACTTGGATTCAAAACTATTGTGCCCCTCCAAAACCCCGGGGGTCATGATTATTTTACAATTTATATATCTACCAAAACCCAAGGATGCTTCCTATAAAACATAAATTTAATGAATTTCCTGGCCCAGTGGTTCTTGAGAGGAAGATTTTAAAGATTTGTTATATTTCTATGTAAAACTTGGATTCCCTATTGTGGCCCCATCCTACCCCGGGGGTCATGATTTGTACAATTTAATATCTACACTACCCAAGGATGCTTCCACATAAGTTTCAGCTTTCCTGGCCCAGTGGTTCTTGAGAAGAAGATTTTTAAAGATTTGTTCTATATATTTCTATGGAAAACTTGGATTCCCTATAGTGGCCCCGCCCTACCCCCTGGGGGCATGATTTTAACAATTGAATATCTACACTACCCAAGGATGCTTCCACATAAGTTTCAGCTTTCCTGGCCCAGTGGTTCTTGAGAAGAAGATTTTTAAAGACTTGTTCTATATATTTCTATGGAAAACTTGGATTTCCTCCCCGCCCTACCCCCGGGGGTCATGATTTTAACAATTGAATATCTACACTACCCAAGGATGCTTCCACATAAGTTTCAGCTTTCCTGGCCCAGTGGTTCTTGAGAAGAAGATTTTTAAAGATTTGTTCTACATATTTCTATGGAAAACTTGGATTCCCTATTGTGGCCCCTCCCTACCCCCGGGGGTCATGATTTTTACAATTTAATATCTACACTACCCAAGGATGCTTCCACATAAGTTTCAGCTTTCCTGGCCCAGTGGTTCTTGAGAGGAAGATTTTAAAGATTTGTTCTATATATTTCTATGTAAAACTTGGATTCCCTATTGTGGCCCCATCCTACCCCCGGGGGTCATGATTTGTACAATTCAATATCTACACTACCCAAGGATGCTTCCACATAAGTTTCAGCTTTCCTGACCCAGTGGTTCTTGAGAAGAAGATTTTTAAAGATTTGTTCTATATATTTCTATGTTAAACTAGGATTTCCTATTGTACTTGCCCCGCCCTGCCCCCGGGGGTCATGATTTTAACAATTCAATATCTACACTACCCAAGGATGCTGCTTTCCTGGCCCAGTGGTTCTTGAGAAGAAGATTTTTAAAGATTTGTTCTATATATTTCTATGGAAAACTTGGATTCCCTATTGTGGCCCCGCCCTATCCCCGGGGGTCATGATTTTTACAATTTAATATCTACACTACCCAAGGATGCTTCCACATAAGTTTCAGCTTTCCTGGCCCAGTGGTTCTTGAGAAGAAGATTTTTAAAGATTTGTTCTACATATTTCTATGGAAAACTTGGATTCCCTATTGTGGCCCCTCCCTATCCCCGGGGGTCATGATTTTAACAATTTAATATTTACACTACCCAAGGATGCTTCCATATGAGTTTCAGCTTTTGAGGCCCAGTGGTTCTTGAGAAGAAGATTTTTAAAGATTTGTTCTATATATTTCTATGTAAAACTTGGATTTCCTATTGTGGCCCCGCCCTACCCCCGGGGGTCATGATTTTAACAATTTAATATTTACACTACCCAAGGATGCTTCCACATAAGTTTCAGCTTTCTTGGCCCAGTGGTTCTCTTTTTGATTATGCTTATGCAAACTGTGAACTTTTGTAGAAAAGTTTTCATTGCATTTTCCTAGAAGAAAATGTATGAACTTCATGAACTAATAACTAATACATGTATACAGACCTGCCTACCCTTTTCATTGCAAGGGTGTAATTTCAGAAAATTTTTGGTGTAATTTCAGAGGTAAAAGCGTAATCAATCATGTTTTCCTATTTTTTTGTTTTACTTTAATACTTTTTTTCTTTAAAAACAACCGAAATTGTACATTACTAAACAAAGCTGGCATAAACTTTTCTTTTTCGAATCATCTATTGGTGAAAATTGTGTTGTAACATACCAGTATCCTATATTAAACACAAAACAACTGCACACCAATTTGTATCAAATAACTTAATTGAAGGCTTGCATTTGTATGTTTACAAAAATCGTATATATATAACACTGTTTTTTATCTTTTTAGCACTCATATTTCTCTACCTTGTTCTAAGTAATGTTAAAATAAACTAAACTCATAAACTGAGCATAGTTAACGTAAGTAGTGCCTTCTCGTGTTCATCCGAATCTTCGCACTACCAGTTTACATGTAACTACTAGGTATATTATGTACGTTTTCGAACTGGTCCTCTATTAATTGCTTTTACCAGAACTTCTCATTTCATTTCAGTAGGTGGTACTTTGACTCTAAATTTAGACGTTCATAATGGATCTTAAACGAAAATATCAAAAGCGTAAAATTAATATAAGTGGCGTAATAGCGTAATTTTGTGGTAAAAAGCGGAAGAATTACACCAAAAGTGGAAGGGTAGGCAGGTCTGTGTATATCATTTGGCAATATTAGAAATTAAGTAAAATGACATTGACCTGATTTAAATTCATTATGTCAGAAAATATTAAAGTCTTCTTTGATGAAAAAGAAACCAACTTTTTGCTGAATAGTGTTTTCTTTGCATTCAAGTCTTTTAAATAAAAAGATTAATTATTTTTGTCAGAATGAAGTAAGAAAATGCCTTTTTAAGTTGTAAAATATTTTTTCCTGGCCTACATGTAAGATAAACTTTTGTAGATTTTGAAAAGATTAATTACTAGAGTATTTCATTTCTAGATCAGTCTTTCAGATTGCAAAGGTTATGAATTTTACTCTATCTAAAAAAAATTCTAGCAAGGTGATCTTCTAAGAAAAACCTCCACCTTTCAAAGGATCTCTTTCGATCTAATTTATAAATGCTGCTTAAGAAAAATTGACATTTTGATGTAATTATCCCCTTGCAATGAAGTTGGAGGGGGCATAATAACACACTTGTGTGTTGATGGTAGGTGACTGCGCTTATAACGGGGTGAAGTAATTTATATAAGGATCAATGGCATTTGCTGCCTAATGCTGAATTGAATATTTTTTTTTATTTCTAACTTGTTTTTCACAATTTCTGTATTGCAATCACAGAAATATAAATACTACAAATTAAACATAAAATTCAATATTTTAGTGTCATCCCTCTTTTTAACTGAATATTGAATTTTGTACAATTGTGATGAAAAGTGAATATTGCTAAGCAATCAAACAAGTGATTTTTCTGTGGTAATTCTTTTTTAAGTTAATATAAAAATAAACCTGCTGTAATTTTTTTTTATCTTGAAGCATGCAGTATATGAATGGTAAATAATAGATCACATTGATCCAGAACAATATAATGATCGAAGTTTGATTATGGTTATCAAACTTGATAAAGATCAAAATTCATGAACTATGGAATTTAAGCATCTTCTTCAAATAGCTGAAGGGATCTTATTAAGGTTTCAGTTTTCTGTATCTGATAGGAATGCTGTAACAAATAAAACAAAAGGCCCATGGGCCACATCACTTACCTGAGCACATATGCTTGAAAAAGCAGAAATAAGTTCAGAATTGAAACAATTAAATACAGATGTGTTGCAAATAACACTCTTTGGGTGACATTACCTGAGGATACTTCTATATTGATATTACTGAACATGGTTTTGTTGTCCTTGAGAAGTGCAGCATTTCATTTCCAAGATTTTTAAAGTTTTTTCCTTATATGCATTTCAATGTAAAAGTTTGATTGTTCAATGTTGCCTCCTTGGTGTTAGGAGTTGTATAAATTTGAATCTTCACATCCTGAGATTGCTTCTGCATTGATATGACCAGATCTGGCTTTACTTTTCTTAGGGAGAAGTTTTTTAAAGATTGTTCCTATGTTTTTCAGTGAAAAACCTTGATCCCAGATCGTATGAAAGCCATCAGGAAGCCAGTTCAGCTACCGGTACATACAAAATGAATAAGGTTAACAACTTGATTTGAAACTTGGATACTGTCAAATCACAAATTTTCGTGGGGGTTTAATTTTCATTGTTTTCGAGGTATGAAGATGTCCACTATGAAATGTAAAATGTTACATTCATAACTACTCAACAATTCTCCATCCATGAATTCAAATCCATACAAACCAAGAGTTTTTCCTCAACCACGAAAATTTGACCCTACGAAAATATGTGATTTTAAAGTATCTGAACCCTCTACAAGGACAGGGTGACCTTTTGCTACCCTTGGCAGCAACTGGATGGTCAAATCATTAATATATAATCAGCGACAGTTCAAAACATAAACATTCACTTATGTGAATAAAATTTTGTATAAAAAAAAAAAACATAAACATGTTTGTCTTAGCCATGATTATTCCATCATTGGTTAAGTCACATTATGGGAAATAGAATGATGTGTAAATGAAAAGAACACAAATGAGGGCATATAATAAAGTTGTTGACAATCAGTGATTAATAAATTTCTAGGTAAAAATAGCAAGTAAATTAAATAGATTGTTTTGTTAGCAAAAAATAGTCAATAACAATGCAGATATTGTTCTCATTTTTCATCCCCTTTACCAACATCTAACAGGCAGTTTGCCAAATCAGAATCTAAGTTTTCCCAGACAATTTCAAAATTTTCTGGTGATTCAGCATTTTTGCCAATTTTATCAGTCTAATGTACAAATTTAGAATAAATAGAAAGGATAAAATTGTTTTATTCCATTTTTTCCCTTTTTTTTCATATCAATATCACTTTCTTCATGTCAAAATTTTTTTCCTGGTTCATAAATTTTAAGATAGTCTACTATCACCGAAATGAATTAAGCAAGCCTAACCAAAAATAAGACATTTATGATAATAATTTATTCCATCTGTTAAGTGTCATCAAAATTTGAAGCTTTATTTGCCACAAAATGAAATCAATTTACATTACACATATTTTTATAAGTAAGAAAATTTAAAACACCACTCGTAAAACAAATACTCGGACTTACCATTCATTTCTCTCATGGCCTGTACAAAATCATTAGGATCTTTAAAGCTGACGAAGCCGTAACCCTTTGTTTTGTTTGTTCTCTTGTCTCGTACAACTTTAGACTTTAAAAATGAGGGGTATCTACTGAACGCACGAGCTAAAACCTCATCTGTCACTTCATTTCCCAAATCCCCACAAAATATCCTAAAGTCATCTGTAAACACAAAATGATCTAGTCTGAAAATTATTTAAACAATAAACAAGAGGCCCATGGGCCACATCGCTCACCTGAGAAGCTTTGACCATTCTGTTCTTCACCAGATTTCACCCTTGTTATACATAATGCATCCCCACCCTACCCCACTGATCATAATTTAGACATTTTGAAATCTACACTACCGCATGATCCTTCCATGGGCACATATGTTTCAGCTTTTTGGCTCAGTGGTTCCCGAGAAGAAGATTTTCAAAGATTTTTCCTATATATTTCTATGTAAAACTTTGATTCCCTATAATGGCCCCGCCCTTCCCCCGGGGGTCATGATTCCTAAAATTTAGAATTTACACTACCCCAGAATGCTTCCACATAAGCTTCACTTTTTCTGGCCAAGTGGTTCTTAAGAAGAAAATTTTCAAAGATTTTTCCTATATATTTCTATATAAAACTTTGATTCCCCATTGTCGCCCCACCCATCCCCCGGGGGTCATTAATTGAACAATTTAGAATCTACATTATACCAGGATGCTTCCACATAAGTTTCAGCTTTTCTGGCCCAGTGGTTCTTGAGAAGAAGATTTTCAAAGATTTTTCCTATATATTTCTATGTAAAAATTTGATACCCCATTGTGGCCCCGCCCTTTCCCTGGGGGTCATGATTTGAACAATTTAGAATCTACATTATACCAGGATGCTTCCACATAAGTTTCAGCTTTTCTGGCCCAGTGGTTCTTGAGAAGAAGATTTTCAAAGATTTTTCCTATATATTTCTTTATAAAACTTTGATTCCCCATTGTGGCCCCACCCATCCCCCGGGGGTCATTAATTGAACAATTTAGAATCTACATTATACCAGGATGCTTCCACATAAGTTTCAGCTTTTCTGGCCCAGTGGTTCTTGAGAAGAAGATTTTCAAAGATTTTTCCTATATATTTCTATGTAAAACTGTGATTCCCCATTGTGGCCCGCCCTTCCCCCGGGGGTCATGATTTGAACAATTTAGAATCTACACTATACCAGGATGCTTCCACATAAGTTTCAGCTTTTCTGGCCCAGTGGTTCTTGAGAAGAGGATTTTCAAAGAAAAATTTTCCTATTTATTTCTATGTAAACTTTGATTCCCCATTGTGGCCCCGCCCTTCCCCCGGGGGTCATGATTTGAACAATTTAGAATCTACACTATACCAGGATGCTTCCACATAAGTTTCAGCTTTTCTGGCCCAGTGGTTCTTGAGAAGAAGATTTTCAAAGATTTTTCCTATATATTTCTATGTAAAACTTTGATTCCCCATTGTGGCCCCGCCCTTCCCCCTGGGGTCATGATTTGAACAATTTAGCATCTACACTACCCCAGGATGCTTCCACATAAGTTTCAGCTTTACTGGCCCAGTGGTTCTTGAGAAGAAGATTTTTTAATGACCCCACCCTATTTTTGTCTTTTCTTGATTATCTCCCCTTGCGAGGGGATATGTCCCTTCATTTTAACAATTTAAATTCCCCTTTATCCAAGGATGCTTTGTACTAAGTTTGGTAAAAATTGGCCCAGTGGTTCTTGAGAAGAAGTCGAAAATGTCAAAAGTTTACAGACGGACAGACAGACAGACGGACAGACGGACGGACGGACGGACGATGGACAAAATGTGATCAGAAAAGCTCACTTGAGCCTTCGGCTCAGGTGAGCTAAAAAACATTTAAAGTAAAATTAAATGTTAAATATTTTTCTATATATGTGTGATGGAAGAGCCATTGTTCAAGTTATTAATTCACATCTCGTACCTTTCTCCCAATCTTCTAGGGACTGATCTTCCCATGTCTCCCCGGCTGCCGTCCGGATTATCTTCTTCGGTTTCTTCTCTTTTTTTTCCTTTTTATGGACAACCTCCACTACAGGTTCAGGTTCCTTCCAAACCAACAATAACGTAAGTTTTAAGATTGAATTTATTCTTTTATTATTACTCACAAGAATCTTATCCAAAATGTGTACATCAATACCTCATTATTTAAAGTACCTATACCTTACTTAAATGCATGCTTAATTTAAACAATATTTTACTCACAGGCATGAAAAAAGTTAACAGGATTGGACAGCAGGCTCAGCCTATTTAAGCCCTCTCCCTGCACCTTTTACTAGTTATTGACTTCAGAGGAAAGCATATCAACCTCGCAAAACATGCTCAGTCAATATGCTTTTCTTTAATGTCAATATGTTTATGGATTGACCTAAAGGGCTATATTTGTATAATATGTACATGCATATCAACCCACACTAATTTATTACTTACTGGGACATGTGTGACAACCTCAGGTTGTGGGATGGGGGTCACCACTGGAGCACTACCCCCTGGGGGTCCTGTTTTACTCTGGGTTCCTGCTTCTCCCTGAGAACCCCCTTCCTCAGAGCTTTCTTTCTTCTTTTTCTTCTTTTTCTCTGGCTTATTGATGACAGGGGCTGAGGAGTAAACAACTCTGGGCTTCTCTATAACTGCAAAAGTCATTTCAGTGATGTTTCAGTAGAATAAAATGATAAAATTTTCAAATGGATAACCCTGGCTATTTCATATGCAAATGGCCTTATCCACCCAAATTTATTTATAAAAAATATGTAGTGAGATATAGAACTGCAGTTATAATTAAAAATATTTAGAGAATATCCAACGTTCTGTAGTTGGATTTAAGAAATGAATGTAATATTTTTTCCTTTGATCGATGTATCAAAGAAAAATTTGGACGGAAAACTTCATCAATGCGCGTAGCGCATTGATGAAAAAGTTTTCAAATCCAAATTTTTCTTTGATACATCGATCAAAGGAAAAAATATTACATTCATTTCTTATCATTTAATTATGATTTTAAATTAATAAAATGAAACTTTCTTTCACCTAATCTATTAAATTTACGCATCTAAAACAGTGCGCACGAATACATCACAATAACGTTAACGTTGTTGAAATTCAAAATGGCATTGGCTCAAACGAAGAAACGTTCTCAAATACAATGTATTGTCGTGTCATTACCAACATTCACTGAAATAATTTACAGTTCTTTAACACAAAAAACTTACCTGTTGTGTTATCCCTATCGATATATTTTCCCCGGCAAGTTATCCAAGTTCGCATATGTAAAGGGAAGCTACTCAAAATATCCTAACAGTTCTAACGTTAGGTCACAGAAATTTTGGATTTCATTTGCACATCTTTTCATCTGAATTTCAAACCGAACATATAAATACGTATCACAACCTGTCAATGCTGTAAATTCTGAAAGAGTCTGCTGCCGGCTCTTTAAGATTAAAAGGATCTGTCCTCATTCGTGAATGCAGTGTCATTTTTCTCGATCATTCGTTTCCCAGGATTTAACATATTAACGGTTTACCTCTCTTTGGTAGCATAAAAAACGTTTTTTTCAGAAGTCTATTATTCATACCAGAAATCTCAAATCCAATCATCTAACAAAAGTCTGCCGATTTCTTTCCTTCTTTCCCAAAACTGTATTGTTGTTATGCAGACGATTTGATTTGTTTTGCAAAGGGGGATAATTCAAAAAGAAACGAAAGTAGAAGATAAGTCAGGAACGTAACGGACAGGTTTCGAAATTCAGGAAAATATTTATAAAGTAAAAGTATTTGGTTATTCCTTCAAGAAGTAGCCTGGAAGCGGGAAATATAAATGTAGAGACTGCCAAAGTAGTTACGGCTGCTTAGTGCAAGCGAACTCTAGATTTTATTGATGCAGGTATCAAAGGAATTTTTAAACCAATCAGAACTAAGTATTTTATAGAAATTAAACTAGAGGTACTGTGAGCAATGGGCTCACTAAATGATACCCCCCGCTTCCCATATGTGTATAAATGGCAGTGTCCATGTTTTGCTATGGGAAACCCAAAATATATCAAAAAGTAAAATAGGAGGTGCACAATGGCAATATGTAATAAAGATTCTGTGAAAGTTTCATCAAATTTCATTCAGTGGTATAAGAGGAGTTGCGGATAAGAGATGGGTACCCCCAAAGCGTAACAGACGGACGGACAGACGGACGGACGTCCACACACGGACGGACGGACGGCTCAGGTGACGGAATTAACGATTACTATATACCCTCCCGCTTTTCAAGCGGGGGGTATAATGATATGGAATTTTATTTCACAAGTTGGACAGGATTTTTTTTTGATTTTCATGAGTGTAAAGCACAAGTGAAAATATCAAAAATCAAATGTATTCCCCTTCCCCCTCCTCAATACACAAATCAACAACTTCACTGTCACTGAATTTTTTTTCCAAACTGCTCTGGTGTTTCAGGGATATACTCATAAACAATTGGTTACATGTTTTTACATCAGAAATTATCAAAACAAATTTACATTCCTTTTCTATATTTAAAGATTACCTCATATTTTTGTCTTATGTATACAAAAACATCATTTTCCAAATATTTTTCTTCTGTTTTAGTAAAAATGTATAAAAAATATGGAAGGTTTGTACATTTGCCAAATGAACAAGGGACAAAGAAAAATAATCCATTATAAAATAGTGTTGTTATTATGTAAACAACAAATGTACAAATCTCCAGATTTTTTTATTTTACCTGTAAAGTAAGCTGTATATTTTATTTCAATAATTTTATGATTGATTCTTCTGATGAAGACCATCCTGATGGTTTAAACAGGTCCATAAAATAAATTTACTTCTGCATTATTATGATCTTTTAATTAACTGTTAATTTCCAGTAGTTTACAACTTGAGATCCACTGAGCTTACTGATAATTGTATGGTATTCACCCATGAAAATTTCACAGTATTTGTTTCCAATGTCTTTGTAATAATGAAAAACAATTTTCATGGACATGAAACATATCTCAGTAAATCTATTGGCATAAAAATAATATGGAAGTACTTTTGACATCTGACTCTCGTAAAGAGATTAATTGTACTATTTGTCTGATGTAGTGCAGTAGAAAAGATATCGCACTTCAATTGATATACAACACATGCGATAAATTCATTTGGATATAATGGCCAGAATCTGATTAAAAGCACCCAATAAAACAACGATTGATTTCATATATCTTTTTTGTTTCCATGCTTCTGGACAAAGGTTTGAAATTTGATAAGATGGACAAGGGTTATGATCTTTGTCTATAAAATAATCATATAAAATGGATAGTCCATGAAATTAGATTTTCCTCCTATTGGATTTGGTTGACATTTTGTCCAGTCTATACATATACAGGGGTACTTTGTGGTGGTGAGAGCTCACAAAAAAAAAAATAAAACAAAAAATTATGTCCCCTGCTTAAGGAAAAAATTAAATTGATGAAAACAAATATAAGAGGGCTTGGCCCTTTATTTTCACAATTTCAACTCCCCTTCACCCATGGCTACTTTTTACCAACTTTGATTAAACTTGGCCCTTTGGTTCTTGATTGATTGTATATTGTTTAATGTTCCTCTCGAGAATTTTTGACTCATATGAAGACGCTTTTGGTTCTTTGGTTCTTGAAGAAAAAATGTGAAAAAGTTCAAGTCGGATGAACAGGGGGGTCAATGTTAGTGGGTAAATTTTAGGTAATCATGGGGACCTAATTTCCTGGGTTATTCATTTATACCACTATAGATTTAATGAATCAATATATTCAAAATAAAAGTTTGCAGGGATGTAAATTTGGTGGTTTAGGGTAACCCACAAAATCGATGAACATTGGTCCCCAACAAACAATTACGATTCCACAATATGTATTAAATGAAGATCTAAGGGTTTAGTTTATATTACATGTACCTCATTAATAATCTGATTTAAAGAAGCTGGTTTCATCAAAGATTTTTTTTTTTAAGCAGATTCTAGTCTGGACCTCTGTTTCTAAAATTCTGCATCATATTTTAGTTCTAACAACAAATTTTGATTATACAATGCCAATCAAACTCTATTCAACTTCTAAATGTATTGAGGAACTTTATTTTGTGGTTAAAAGTTTCTGCACCATAGCACTAGAAGATGCAAATTCACTACACTTTTTGTCAAGACTTTTCCTTAAATGATATGTAAAGATATCAATAAAAAATATAAAAAATTAACGAAATTTCTTGTATTCAACTGTTTGAAACAAAAAAAAATTGTGGAGCTTGTAGTACTCTTGTAAAAAATATATTATATGTTTATCATTTATGAGTAAATGAATGTTAGCTAAATTCATACAGAATGCATCATTACTGAATTTTATCTAGTAGGTATGTAGTGAACATGACTGGAAGAAATGGCCTTTATTTTCTTTTTTTTATATTAAAGGGACTGGGTGGTCATGGCCATTTTTAGACTATTTCGATCTCCTTTAGAAGAAGAGCTCCATATAAAGATATACAAAAATGTTCAAATTTTAAAACTAATATGTATGAAATTTTTCTTTGTCAAATGATAGTTGACAGCTAAAGATATCATATCTAATGCCCTGTTCACACAGAGAGTTTAATTCGCAGTAAATTAATGCGAAGTAAACTAATGCGAATCAAACTAATGCGAATCAAACTAATGCGAATTAAACTGCGTTCACATGACAGCTAATGCGAAGTAAACTAGTGCGAATTAAAATTTCACTTCTGCAGCCCGGCGTCAGCACGGCTATTAGAGAGGTTTAGTTACAAGTGACGTAACAACGTGTATGCGTAACATTGACGTACACGTTCTATTTTACGTCAACGTCAATAACATGATTTAGTTATACGTACACGTGTACGTTAATTGAACGGCATTGTATTTATTATTTTTAATTGAGACAAATCAATGGTGAAATGGAACATATACTTACTCTAGTCATAGATATCATAAACTATGAAAAATTATTATATATATTGTCATCTCAATGCAGTGAATCGCTCTAGACTAAATATTTTGTCACCTAGTATCTCTAGAGGACAATTAAGCTTTTAATTCTGCATCACTTTAAAAATGGAAGCAATCATAAGAATTATTTATTTGATGATAAAAAACCGACCATATTTTGCACTTTGTGGATAATGAAGGGGGGGGGGGTCCAAAAGAAAACCTTTTGAAAACAAGAAATTGTGAAGGCTCAATCATATAACGTCTAGAAAGGAGAGGCATGGAATAAAATTTGATACATCAATAAATTGTTAAAACCAAAATCAGACACCGCCCCGTTTTTTTTAAATACGCGTCTGCTCTAGATCTTTACAAGTGATCGTACAAAAGAAAAAAAAAATAGTTAATGAAATATAATTTCAACAAGCACTTGACGTTACACATAGGCGTACTACCTATAACTTATTAGGTGAGGGGTTGTATTTTTTGTTATGTCACTAGTGCCTGTGGATGTTATATAATAGTTCTAAAATATTTTAACATAAAAAAAATTAAGAATATAGAGTTGTTAAAATAGGTTTTAATAAAATTAACAGAAAAGGAAAAATCACCAAGAAACCATGAATTTTTATTTAGTGCATTGGCAGGCGGGGTCTTCTTCAAATGAATCCTGCGTACAAAATAAACATGCATGCTGTTTGGTACCAGTTTGAGTTTAACTTTTCATTGATAAAAATACTAATACTTTGATGGAATCATCGAATCATCATTCATTAATTTTTTTAGATAGACTAGTGTTCTTATTTTATTGCACAGAAATCAATCAACTGCATCAAAAAATAAAGAATTTAATCCATAACTTTACCCGTTTACGTCGTATGTGTAGAGAGTGTATTACACGTTCTAAACTTGTAGCTACACGTCGGATTTGACGTCTTGACGTCGAAGAACACAACAATTGATGACGTCACCCGTACAAGTTGGTCACAAAACGTGTAACTAAACCTCTCTAATATGACCTCATTTGCAAATCACGTCACCTTATGCAGAAGCAGATCCATTTTACATAATGGCAAAGTGTCTGTATACACATTTTACTGATTAACAAAATTTTCCTTAGTTTTTCACTCAAAAATAGCACAAGTACCTATACACCGTGTATATCCCAACATGCGGGGTGTATACTACATGTATGTTGTGCGCGGGGTGTATGCTTCCGAAGCGAGAAAAAAGGGGTTAATGTACGTTCTTTGTCTATTTTCTCAACTTACGGATATTTTTCGCCAGAAAGCATATGCCTACGGAAGAAAGCATTATCTAAGGAGTACATGGATACCTATGAAACCACTGGAAACCTTCTAGTTTTATCAAACACTTCAACACAATTCCGAGGATCGGAGGCAGATGGACGCTAGACTGTGTTTATGATGAAATACCAGAAGAAAGCTTTGCTTTATCATCACTTTTATTTTATTGTTAAATACATGTTTACAATATAAACGTTTGTACAAATTGTCTGTAAATAAAACAGATCGTATATAAACTAAAGATATTGACGAAAAATCAATGTTGTGTCCGGGGTGTAGGCAACATGTTGTACGCGGGGTGTATACCCCTCTTTTTACTCTATAGTATCATTGTCTGAAATATCATTAGAAAATTTTAACAATTGACTTTTGTGAATGTTCTATTTATATTTTAAATTATTCACCAGCCTTGTAATAGCACAACTTCAGGTACATGAATTCGATTCACTGAAAAAATTGATACACTTTCATCGTACTTTTGGCTTTGCAGATGGAAGTAAATGCACAGGGTGTTTTGTTTAACTATTAAATGTGATGACCAACAATTCATCTCTTTTCGATTTAAAGGCACCTTATTCAGACCCTTCCTTAATAAATGCTTCACACATGCATCATTTTGAACATTTAACATTTTCTCATAATTTCTGTTCAACTGTTTTCAAAATTTTTTCAATGACATTGAAAATGTTGAGCCTTTTGTAATGTCATAAACACCGAAAAAAATGTTCTCCTTCAAGTATTTATATGCTGTGTACTTTTCCCCCAGGAGCCCATAACTGGCAGTAAACTATTCTAGGAATGGGCCCGGGGAGGGTGTGTTTGTGTCTTAGGTCATTTTTTGTAAAAGGGGGGGGCGGGGGGTTACTTTACTACGTGTATATACCAAAATAAATTAGAGGGGGGGGGGGGTGAACATTAATTGATATTATATACATGTCAACATAAAAGTGTAATTTTACCCAAAGCATTTTTTTTCAATTTTGCATGCCCTCAGAAAATTGTCATCCCTTATTACATTCTGTACAAATGTGCATTTTCATAGGTGGCTTTACATGTATATTGTGATTGTAAAATATGAAATCTTTTCAGATAAGGAAAAATGAGTCCACACATTGCAAAAGTTGAAAGGGAAATTAATACTGCATACAGACACGTGTAGTATCACCCCCCCCCCCTTTTTGTTCCAGACACAACTTTACACCACAGAAAATATTCATCAAAAGTCAGGTTGCCCCCCCCCTTTTTTGTTGCAGGATAGTCAAATAATGGTTATGTAGTATGTTGTAAAAAAGGAGAATTGGAACCAAAAACGATGGGATCTACAACCCAATCTGAAATACGAGTTTTGAGTTTCGAGTTTAGAGTTCCCCTTTTTATAGCTAGTCAACTTATGTCAGGCTAGGGTTTTTTTTCCAGGTATTCCCCCTTCAAAAAAGATTTTACATCACTGTCATAAATGCTTAAGAATACATGTATTGATAAGATAAATGTTGCAGACGCACACAAAAAAGATTTATTCATAATACACCATTCATGTAGTGTCTCTATTATTTTTAACAGGCGAAATATTAAGATTAAAACGAGCTGAAGAAAGGGCAAAGTGTCCTCAATGCAGGGATTTGGGGGGGGGGGGGGCCTCCTTTGGAGAGATTTTATGATAACGTAGATTTATACCATTGCGCCATCTACAATGTAGCATTAATTCAGATAAAATTGCTCTTTGCACACCTAGCGCCCATTATGTTTGAATTCTTTTTAAATTCTTTTTTTTATTCTTTTGATTTTTTAAAATTTAGTTTGTTTTATAAATACTTAAGCAAGGTTATGGAAATTACTTTTTGGTTCGGCATTAGTAGGCTTTTTATCAACACTATACGTCGCTTATAAACCTGTATAAATAATATTTCCATTGATACTTCGCACTAACAATCTAGAGAAAAATATGAGGTATACACCCCGCGTACAACATGTTGCCTACACCCCGGACACAACATTGATTTTTCGTCAATATCTTTATATACGAACTGTTTTATTTACAGACAATTTGTACAAACGTTTATATTGTAAACATGTATTTAACAATGATAGAAAAGTGATGATAAAGCAAAGCTTTCTTCTGATATTTGATCATAAACACAGTCTAGCGTCAATCTGCCTCCGATCCTCGGAATTGTGTTGAAGTGTTTGATAAAACTAGAAGGTTTCCAGTGGTTTCATAGGTATCCATATACTCCTTAGATAATGCTTTCTTCTGTAGGCATATGCTTTCTGGCGAAAAATATCCGTAAGTTAAGAAAATGGACAAAGAACGTACATTAACCCCTTTTATCTCGCTTCGGAAGCATACACCCCGCGCACAACATAGTATACACCCCGCATGTTGGGATATACACAGTGCTATAGCTGACCACTGACAAGTGGCATTTGACTAAATTTTGCCATTATGCATGCATCAGAATTTAATTCGAATTAGCTTCGCTTAGCGTTCACACGGATCTAAGGCCAGGTAAAATTAATCTTTAGATTCTCATCCTAATTTGCTAAAAAATTGGGGCGGGTGGGCGGGTTTTATTTTTTATTTTTTATAACTGTTAAATTGTAAGTATCAACAAAACATGGACTCTTCGTACACATTTTTTCATTATGTTAATGCCAATATAAATATATTTTATTTTTTCGTATTCTTTTAAATATTTAAAGAAAATTCTTGCTTAAATAATTAGATATTTATTGTTAATTAACAAATTATCAAGTACACAAAAACGGCACACGCAACACAAAATGAGGTGGGGTTCTGATACCAATAAATTTTGTATGCATGACTTCTAATCGGCCTTTTCCTACATACCCTTTAGTTTTACCTACAAATCCCTCTGTTTTCTGTAAAATATCATAGATTTCCACCTTCCTCAAAAATTGGATTGTTCCTGAGACTTGACATGTTCGACAATAAAATAGGTCATATTTACAAAATCTATAATTAAAAATATTCTAATATTAAATATCCTTCCGAAAAAACCTAGGCCTGAACAGTTTTAAGATTTAACATTTTCTTAGCACTAAACATTCTCTAAAGTCTACCTACGATGTTTTATTTTTTTTTTTTTAAATCAAAATCACACACAGTTGGAGATCGTTAAAACTTGACGAGGTGTCATTTTCCATGTCTATTTTTTATACTTAGTCTTAAAAAATCTTAAAAACCTTGCTCATGCCAGTGATGGTATCTAGATCTGTTTATGCTATTATTTTTTCTCTGCCTTCTCTATACTGACAAGTAATCTTTTCCTTACATATTTAAACTGCTTTTATTGCCGATTTTTCTCCATTCTTCACATGGCTCCTTTGCTATAAATAGCGACACGCGACTTTTAATACAGACGGGAGATAACTCTTAAACTTCACCCAAATTCTTACTGAATAAAAATAGTTGAAAATGCCTTTATTTACACCCAAAAATCAAAATAAAAAATGCCTGGGCGGGACACTTTGAGAGGGGCGGGTGGGGATGAGAATCTAAAGATTAATTTTATCTGGCCTAATGCGAAGTAATTTAATGCACAGTAAACTAATTCGAATTAAACTAATTTGCATTAAATTCTCCGTGTGAATGCTAAGCGAAGCTAATTCGCAGTAACTTTACGTTTAACTCGAATTAAACTCTCCGTGTGAACAGGGTATAAAAATTTAAGTTATATTTGGTGGTTAATTTGTCGTTAATTTGTTGACCCTCCAGCCTCCTTAAAAAAATTACATAATATTTTTTATTCAAAATCTCTGATCACAATAACAGCTGTTGAGTTGATATTTGGCCTCAACATCCTTAAACTTTTGACACTAAAGCTGAAATCAAACCAGTCTATTGTGAGGAACAATGAAGCATCCTATCACCTTCACTGTATCACAGCATCATAAACACCTCATCATTTACTGACATCCTCTCCTCATACCCTTAATATTGTTTAATTTTCCATCAACACTGTATTATCATGCGATTGTTACCCATTCAATTCATGAACTGGACCTACAGCATGCCTTGTAATATCTAAGGCATCTAATTTTTGTAAGATTTGGTTATACATATCAAAAATATCATATTATTTTTTCTCACCTGGATCTTTTTTCTGCTCCACAGGTGGACCCCCAGGAAAGGGAGGATTGGGTCCCATTGGCATGGGACCCTGTGGACCGGGTCCCCCATATGGTGGCCTCATCGGGGGTCCGCGGTTAGGCATGGGCTGTGGATGAGGTGGCCCCTGAAATCCTAGTAGATAATACATATACATGTACTATAATAATCAGCAAACACTAAAATAAATTAAAAACATTTGAAAATTACATTGCAGATAGATACAAAGTTTTGCTGACTTAATTTGGTCAATTTTTTTTATCTGTATCAATCTTAGTGAGATATGAATACTAGAACATTTATTCAGTACTGTGAAGATTTATCTTCTCTCTGCTCATCCATGAAATATTTTGCTTGCTGCCTCCAGTGTTAATGATTTCCCAAATGAAATCTAATTTTCATAATAAATGTACACAATTTCAGCTCAGCAAAATTTGATGGAAATGGCCTTTTTAGTTAACAATAATTACCTTGCAGTATCTAACTTAGTGAAACTTTTTTGCAATTAAGTAAAGAAATCTGTAAAGTATATATCATTTTTTGGCCATTTTACATTATTTTAACTAGTGATAATCTAATGATTCAAACAATGAGCTTGCCCAAAGTAAAACTTACTACCAATATTTGCATATATGTCAAAAGGTAACTTATCACAGCAAGAGTTAGCTTTCCTATCAGAGGGCTGATGAATCTAAAGTATCACTGATTTTATTTTGTTCATGCTTCTCCAGATAAATTTTTATTGCTTTTCATTAGTATTCTCATTGCTAATTAATGAACAAGTCACTATATATCAAATAAAGAATAAAAGATTAACACCATCATACTGTTCAATATTTATTCTGTTCTGCAGTTTTAAGGACAGGACTCCATGGTTCCTAATGAGCCTGAAATGACCAAGACATTAAACATGCTAGAAATTTTACAAATCAACTTACCTCCTGAGTAAGGGCCGGGCCCACCTTGTCCTCCCATGAAATGAGGCGGGGGTCTAGGGGGGCCTTGTCCTGGGGGTCCAGCATGAGGGGGTGGGGGTGGTGGCATCCTCTGTCTTATCTGATGAGGAACAAATGGGAGATTTTGATGCAGTGCCGGAGGGGGTGGTGGGGGTGGGGCTAAATTTGGCACTCCCGATGATGAGGAAGGGGGTCCTGATGATGAAATTAAAGATGGAGGAGGTGGTGGGGGTGCTGCTAGCACTGAAATAATTTTAAAAAGCTTGATTAAGACAACTGACTAAAAATAATACAATTTTTTTTATTAATTTAAAATCATAAGGGTAAAAACTAGGTAGGGAAAAAAATCCTTCAAATACCATAGTACATTTGTACTAAAAAATTCAATCCATTTGCATAATACATATATTGATATAAAAGCACATATAAGATAGAGCGTTTTCTTTTATATCTATACACAATTGTTTAGATCACTTGAGCTAAAATATGCACAGTTTCAATGTTTTCAATCAATTAAAATAATTAAGTGATGTCTATGCTTGGATGTACCTGATAAAGGTATATTGGGATCGGAGTATTGGGAACTCTCTGGTTGTGGTGGCTTTGGCCCTGGATGAGGCCCCGGACCTGGGCCTTCATGGCGGGCCATTTTGTGTGGTGGCTCATCAGGTCCCCCTGTTTAAAAATCATGAATAATTACATTAAAAAAAATCAGAGATCAGAGAACTGTGAAGAAATAATATTTGCTTATAGAACAATTATTTGAAGCATGAAATCAAAGGAACATTCCACTTACCAGTACTCTCCGTATTAAACTTTAAAATCCCTACACATGTTTTTTTTTTACCTTTCTTTTTTTTTTCCTTAATCTAATTTACAAATTGAATGTAACCAAGAGAAATTTAAATTAAGAGAGACCCAAACTACCTGTAGTTACATTCACTCCTTGAAAAGAAAAATATAACTCCATATTGACAAAATAAATAAATAAAATAACACTGTTTCATAGATATACTGAAGATCTTTTGCACTGAATTTCATTGATAAAGTCAACTTTAAAACAATGTTTGTTTGCCCTTTCCCAACTCAACAAAAAAATGGATCAATAGGTAGTTTTTTTCCCAAAAAAATTTCAACATTGATGCTGAATTTTCAAAATATATTCTTCTGAATACATAATAAAAATAATTGCTCCCAGGAGGTTAAAAAGGTTTTCAACTTTTGAGTCTAGCCATGAACTCTCGTCTTCTTTGCAATTTTGTGATTAATTAAAAAAATTACTTACCTCTAATCTGAGCTTTGACCTTATTAAAAGTTCCAGCACCAATAATCATCCGATGTCCTCCCATCTCATACTCTTTGGGAACCAAGATCTCCTGTTCAAAGCTACAACAAAAAAATATGAGTCAATAATATTGCCAGATTAATAACTTAACTGCTCATTCATTAGTAGGGAAATTCATAGTTTTTGTATGATATTTGCCTCTAAATTATTCTCCTTTGCTGCCATCTTGTACATTGTAGTCTTTTTATGCACCAGGATCAACAGATTTGAAGCATATATTGCTTTTGTCCTGTCTGTTTGTCTGTATGTTGTCAACCTTAACCTTCATCATAACTTTCAAACCATGATCATGATGATAGTTAGAGACTTCATATTTGGTATGCCGACTCCAATTATTAGGCTCTTTCGAAGTGACACCAAGGTCAATGACCTTGTGACCTTGTCTGTGACCTACATGTATACGCTAAAAATATTTTTTTTTAACTTTAATCATAAATTTGAACCATGAGAGATAGAGACTTCATATTTAGTATGCATACTCCACTAATTAATTTCCTTCAAATGACACCAAGGTCATGACCTTTTGACCTTGACTGTGACCTTTATGGTAAAAGTAGCTTTTTTGAACTTTTGTCATAACTTTTGAACCATAGGAGATAGAGAATTCCTACTTGGTATGTGTACTCCACTAATTAACTTCTTTCAAATGACCCAAAATAGCCAAAAATAGCTTTTTTGAACTTTATTGCAGCTGGGCACATAGTGTTTCACAAACACATCTTGTTGAATAACTAATTTTCAATGGTTTATTCTACCTATTCCCACTTTTTGAAAATCATGTAGAAAAAAGAAAGATTTTATGTGGGAAAAGGTGGAATTTTGTGTAAACAAATAATTAACTACTGCAGTATGTTCTTAAATTTAGGTATTAAGTTGCTTTTTCTTGTAAGATCTTTTAATTATTTCAAAAATCCGAAATAAATCATATTTTCTCATAGATGTATTCATTATTTTCTGTCTTAAAATGTACATAATACAGGTAAATCTAAACATCTATTGTTATTTGCAAGTGGGAATAGGTGGAATTGAGATTTTTAAAAAGTGGGAATAGCTAGAAGACACCTTTTCAATATGTAAATGTGGTGCATAACAACAAGTTGGTTTAGACATAGCATCAACTTAAATGAAAAAGATACATAAAATTGGGGGAACTCTTTCGCATTGGAAGTAGAAAATGTCTGTTGGATGCATGGGGACAATTTGCTATTGAATACAATGCATAATCGATCATTGTGGAGTTTATAAAGACAAACAAGAAATAAATCCTGTTGAAATTTCTTGCTAAACATTCCCTGAATCAACCTAATAAATTTTCAAGAGGAGCTAGTCTTCAGATGATACATTTTTTATGGTATTTTTCAATAAGCAAACTCTTCTCATGTAATTTTGATTGAAAATTGTTACTTTTGATAGCTAATAAAATACTCTAAACTTTCCTTATTAGGCAATCTACGGCAATACATTGTATCTACAGCATAAATTTATAATGATTGTTCAAATCATTCGATTGTCTCTACTGTAAACAATGTTATGCCCCAATATCGCAAGATTTAGAGCTTTCTTGACTTTCCCAGAAAAGAGCGGTAGTAAGTTGGATAACTGCAAGGCATTTACAAGACTACTATGTATTACAATACTTGAATGGTGAAAAACTCTAACAGTTTCAATTTCAGGAAGTTTTGAAAAATAATGCATTATTTCATTTATCTTAATATATTTTACTTTTGATTATTCTGAAATATTTATCGGACACCGTGTCCAGCGTGGTTCTAGAAACTATCAGACTTGGACGAAATTTACTGGAGATCAATGGCGGGCGGTGTCTTCTGCCAACTCTGCTTCATAACCAGCATCAAAACTCTGCTTGCCAAGTGGAAAGTCGAACTCAATCATGAAACGATATATGCTAATCTTGAGACAGATCAATGATTCAACAGTAAGTTGTGTATAGAACTGTGCTTGCCCCAATGGTCACACCGTAACGTAAAACATATTTACCATGGGTTAAAATTTATTTCCGAAACAAGTGCCTAGCTGTGATAAATATACATAAACTAAGATGTATCATCACACTACACAGTCTAGACTATGTGTTCTCTAGCTTAAACTTTCAAATGTTTTAAAAGTTTTGAAAAGTTGGATCTCAACCAATATTAACAACTGTTCTTGCCCCAACAGTATCACTGTCGAACTTTCTAAATTAGTCTACGACAGAGACGGAAAAACATGTCTCTGCTGTAGTTAGTCCCGTATTCTATGGCCTATCGGTGAGCTAATTGCAGAAGTACTCTATTAATGATGCAATTTTATGAGATAATTTTATAATTACCGGTTCATTTCCGCCTCCATCTCTTTTAAACGTTTTTCAGTCAACAAAGCCATCTCCGGATTCGCCATCTTTTCGTTTCCTCAATGTCAATCTTTGGCTTCAAGTTATGCTACCATTTCCCTTTATTCAAACACACATATGACTAAGAAAAATATAAAACGGTATACACGCTTTTCATATCCGGAAAAGTTTCATGTTGATAAGGTTCTATTAATTAATTTGTGATCTTATAATTGAACATCGGGGGTATATACTAATAGTTTTTACCCTGTCCTTCTGTCTGTCTGTTTAGCTGTTTGTCAGCAAAAACTTTAACATTGCCAATAACTTTTGATTGGTTGGAGATAAGTATTTTTGTCTCTGGTAAAAATAAAAAAAAAAGTTTATATACCTTGTGACTTGGGTATCAACATATTTGACCTCCTGACCTTGCCTTTGGAGTTTTACCAATTTTGCAAAAATTTACCCAACTTTTAACCTTGGTCATAGCTTTTGAACAGTTGGGGCTAAAGTTTATATACTTCCCATTTTATACTCATTGTAAAGATATAAGTATTTTTGACCTTGACCCTTGCGTTTGACCCACTTGCAAAGACCTTTAACCTTTGACACAGCTTTTGAACAGTTGGTGCTGGGACTTTATTTCATTTGTGTATTTCTTGAGTTGTCACAGGGCCTTCCCCTGGGAAACTTTTAAAAATTTAACCCTTTTATCTTGACCTAGAAGTTTGTGCCACATTCAATTATTTTTTTCGAATTTCACAGGTATATTCACCGAGAACAAGTCCTTTCTTTGAGTAACAACATGTTTCATCCATTGAACTAGCTTGGAATATGACTTGCATTTGAGAAAAATTTGAGAAACTTCAGCCTTCACCAAAAGCTGACATCCGAGAGCATCAGTGTTTCACAAACACATTTCTTTTTATATTTTTTTTCATTTAACTATCAAATTATCGTTCACTGATTAATCTTCAATATCAGTATTTAAAAAAAAATCTTCCCTAATCATGCTTATGGAAATGGCGGTAGACTTCATCGATCAAACATGATACTCTCCCACACACGTCATTTTACCCCCCCCCCCTCCCAAGACCCTGAGGATTTGAAGATCACCATGACCACTTTCATGAATTAGCTTCAACTGCTCTTAACGCATCATTCCAACACACTTTTCCAAAACAATTTGGTATCGCCCATTTGGTTTTGGGTACCTCTTCCAAGTTAGGCCTAAGAAGTTTTTCTTATTCTTTTCCTAGAACTTCCCATTTTCCTCAAAATACATGAAATGTTTCACAAACACATTTCTTTTTATATTTTTTTCATTTAACTATCAAATAATCGTTCACTAAACCTCTTCCAAGTAAGAAAGGAGTTTTTCTTATTCTTTTCCTATAACTTCCCATTTTCTTCAAGGTACATGAATTTTTAGAGATTGCGTCGGGATCACGATCTTGTCTAGTCAAGCATCTATAAATGCGTTTATACAACAAAGGTTGCAAAATGTTTACATTATCTGATACAGAAAACACTTTCAATGGGGAGGGGGGTTGGCAGCCATATATTTTCAGCTGAGGGCACTACCAAAAATTCCTTGACAAGTGAAAAAACGGTTTTTAGGGGCACGACCGTATAGTATCGATGCTATAGTATACTATATCCGGGAAATTTAATTATGGGGGGGGGGGCACAACTCTGTACCCCAGTTCCTAGGCCATGTGATAATAATATCGTAATTGAATACTTTTTACAGGAATTATTTGCTTGCGTGTTGTCATACTTTTTGCAGTTTTTTCACCTTTATTTTCCCCATATACTTCATTGATCAGCTACTGGGCAGGCCCGTAGAATGGACGGTGGCAGGAGGAGCACCCTTTTGTTCTGAGTATAGACTTTTGCTCTAGTATATTTTCATTTAGCCCCCCCCCCCCCCCAAACGAAATAGCATTTTTTTTTAGTTTTACCCTCTCTTTTTCTTATCAAATTTCTTTGGGGACGGTGTCCCTTCCACTTTTAAAACTACTGCTACAAAAAAAAAATTTAAAAAAACAAAAAAAACCACCCCAAAGCATTTTACTCGCTTGAAAACCACTCATCGTGACTTTACATCGTCTCAAACCACGTACGGTTCGGAGCCTGCGAATATTATTAGCTATCTGGGAGAGAATCATACATTTTGGCCGTGGTTTTCGACGATACATAAATTGTCTAGAAATATTAAACTGCATTAGGTATAAATTATGCAATTTCCATTTTGCATGTTTGTTTGATTTTGATCAAATTGTAGGTATAATCATTATTTGATTTATTTTTTTATTTTCTATGGAGCAAATTATCTTTACTCAAATCACAGGAGTTCTCAAACCATGACACTCTTCTTTTTTTTTCTTTTTTTTTTTAACTTCGGTAACTGTTTAGCCTCTAAGGAAATGCACTACATGTATGAGAACTGACTGGCTACTCAATAAAGGTCATGACCCGGAACTCACAAAGGCATGAAAAGCCCGCGTATAAGAACACATTTCGCGCGTTTTGGAAGTCATTTTATGTGCCCATAGAAGGGAGAACACAAGCATGCCCCCCAAAACGCCTGGTGCAAGCAAGGGCTCCAAGAAAGCTATATCCAAATCAACTAAACCACCGGGAGATAAGAAGAGAAAAAGACGAAGAAAGGAAAGCTACGGAATCTACATTTACAAAGTTTTAAGGCAAGTTCACCCTGACACGGGAATCTCAAGTAAAGCCATGTCTATTATGAACAGTTTCGTTAACGACGTGTTCGAAAGGATTGCTTCCGAGGCCTCCAGATTGGCAAGTTACAACAAGCGTTCTACTATCAGCAGTCGAGAAATTCAGACCGCAGTGCGTTTGTTACTCCCTGGAGAATTGGCCAAACACGCCGTCAGCGAGGGGACCAAAGCTGTGACGAAGTACACAAGTGCGACAAAGTGAGCAAATTCGAACGGTGATACCAACCCACACTGAAATGTAAATAACATTCATTCATGATGACAGTTCTATTACATTGTATTTCACTGACTTGTTTGTACGTAGTTTTTGAACACAAACTGTCATAGACATTTATGAATCGTTTGATTTGTTGAGTTATTGAAAAAGACAAATTAAATTGTAATTAGTGCAATGTTGTGTTTATTATCATCTTTCAGAAAGTTGTAGCAAGAGAGCAGTAGAGGTCTTATAAGAAGCCCTGTAATACCAATGCATACAGACAAGTTGTTTTGCACAAATGGTACTGTGATCTGACCTTAAATAAAACGTATTAATGTATGTTATGTTACATATGAAAGGTGAGGATGGGTTAAATAACACTTTATTACCCCCCCCCTTTTTTTAAATGGGAGGGTATTAGTATATACATTATGTAGTGATTGGGATGTACGTCCGACCGTCTGTTACGCTTTGGGCGTACACATCTCTTATCCGCAATTCCTCCTATACCACTGAAAGAAAATATTATACTTTTACAGAATATTTGTAACACATTTAAATAGTGCCATTGCGCAGCTCCTATTTTACTTGTTGATCTGACACTAATTTTGGGTTTTCCAGCGCAGAATACGTGGACTTTGCCATTATAATCATACGAGAGGTGGGTGTGACATTTACTGAGTTCAATCCCCACATGTAGTACCTTTTGCATTTACTTTTCCATTTCGGGGTAAAATCTGCGAACCCAATATTGAAATTGAGGAAAAGATATTTACAAATTTACTTCCCTCTAGACGATAATTTTCTCGAAGTGTTACTGTGAGCACTGAGCTCACTAAATGAAACCCCCTGCCTCCCATATGATTACAATGGAAAATCGATGCTTTGCTTGGGAAACCTCCTTAAAAGTGTCAGATCAAAAAGTAAAATAGGAGGTCGAATGGCATTAAAATATGAAGAATCTGTGAAAGTGTCTTGGAATTTCATTCAGTGGTGTAAGAGGGGTCGTGGAGAAGAGATGGGTATACCCCAAAGCTTAACAGAAGGACGGGCATCTCGATCACTGATGACCTCCCTCTTTTCAAGCGGGGATATATAAGAGCAGAGGTACCGTGAGCAATGGGCTCACTAAATGATATCCTCCGCGTCCCTTATGATTATAATGGCAAAGTCCATGTTTTGCTCTGCAAGATTTGATATTAGTGTCAAATCAAAAAGTAATTTAGAAGGTGCACAACGGCATTATGTAATGAAGAATCTGTGAAAGTCTAAATTTTATGCGGTAGTATAGGAGGAGTTGCGGATAAGAGATTCCGAGATTCCTCTGACGCTAACCCCTGTTTTCATTCAGTGGTTGATATGGAAACATCCTCAGTTGGTGTAGATTCAAGTTTGTTAAATCCATGACCCCCGGGAGTATGGTTGGCCAGAACGGATGATCAAAGTTTAACATAGTAATACCGGGTATATAGGTAAAAATCTTCTTTCTAAGAACAGCAAAGCCATGATTGGTCATATCTTTATGGAAGCATCTTCACGTTTGGCCGGGGCAAAAGGGGGGGGGGGTCAATTTTTTGCAAATTAATAAATTGGAAAAAATCTGCTCAAGACCACAGCGAATTGGCCCATTGACCTCTTGTTTCTCATTTACTGTGGTCTTTTAAAGAAAAATATCGTTCTCTCTCTATCTCCTTTTTTCCTTTCGTAAATTCTTGGTTGGTACAAATTTAAGTACAACCTATTATGAACCAAAAGATGTTAGCACGCATCCATTATGTTTTTCTTTGTTCATTGGACCGTGGTGATGTGGGTTGTTCTGTCACTATGGGTCAAGTTTTATTAATTATTTGCTCAAGGCGTTTTCAACCCCAGGAAAGATAAGATTCACAGAAGAAATAGTTCTTATCTTATATCTCTAATTCTCAAATTTGTATAAAAGAGATACAGTACCTTCTATACAGTTCTTTGAACTATCTGTGGGTTGAGAAACAGCCATACACGTATCTGTGAGTAAGACCTTAGATGTAAGTTTTTTTATTTTTATTTTTTTTAAATAATATTTAAAATTATATTTATTAATAAATTCATATCATTAAATGAAATTACACATTCATATTTAACTAAAAATAAAATTTAATTCCTCATTTTTCTTTTACTTCCTATTATTTTTTCTTGTCATTTCAATTTTATTACCAATTTATGGATTTTAAAAATTCACACTTGTACACTGTAAAAAATTCGCTATTTATTTCCTGTATCGATATAAATATTTTTGATTCCTATTTTTTCTAGCCACTTAAAAGTCAAGAATTTTGAATATCCGAAGTTCGTGAAGAACTTATATTCACTTTCGGGGCCAAAAAGTATATTTGCTAGTGAAACAAAAACTGGGTTTTTATTGTTCCGGAATTTTACAGTCCATACTTCTTTCTTTGAATATATCGCGTACCGGAAGTTACGTTTGTTGAAGAGGTCCAACTGTTTGTGGTTGAGGGAGAGAGACGATGGTTAGGTGATAGTTGGGGACACAATTTTGTTTTCATGTTTGTTTTATAGAGCAGCGAGATGACCGTCATTCCACCAATTGGTATACGTCTGCTACCATCACTGAGTGGAACGAACTCAGTAAGAACTGTTAGGTAAGGCTTGATATTCTTTTGCTCTATTCTTCTTCCAGTTACGAGTTTAAACTTTAAAACTTAACTCCTTCACTCTATTCCTCTTTCTTTATAAGCATATGAATCATTAAGCACATTTATCAACGTTGATTGCCTGTGGATTTATTATAAATCCATTCTTTAATATTGCTTCAAGTTATTTAAGTTTTTAACATTTTTCTTTGCATCATTTATATTTATCCAATGTTGAGCACTTTATGGAGTGGCTATCACTCATGGGATGTTTTTTTTTTTCAATATCTCACATCTTCAATGTGGAATCACCAATAACATAAAGGAATTTTTTCAATTTTTTGTGTGTGTGTTTTTAATTTTTATACCCTGGCCAAGGCAAGCGATAAAAAAACCCACAACATATTCGATAAAAACCCTTTATTATTAAATTTATTATGGATTTGTAGTCGCATCATAAACAAGCGATAAAATGTTCAAACATAAAGTCTCATTTATAACACATGTTCCTACAACACAAAGAGTGTATAATGGAATTTTAATTAGTGTAGCTTGTTCTTTCCTGTTAAGAAGCCCACAGGTGGTTGATTGCCACAGGGGGTCATAGATTTTTTTTCACACGTGTGTTTTGAGTTTGCCAAGCACACATTTATTACAATTTACAGTGTATAAATTTTTATTCAAAGTTTATACTTAATAATATTATTATTTTAAAAAATATTTATATTCTGTTTTGTATAAACTTAACAAATGACTTCATGAGCAAAATATGATAGTGCATATATAAGAATTAGAATAAATTGTTACTTTGGAAGTTTATAAGAAGCGTTACAGAGATTATCTATTTATTTTGTATTGTAAATTTGTAACACTTAACAGTGTTTATCATCTAAGAAAATTGTGTCACATGATTTAGTCCATCATCATTATCTGATTCATGTAAACAAAGTTATCAAGGCTCTTTTAAATCCATAATTTTGTAAATTTAATTGATAACATGTCACATATGAACATGTTATGTGACCTAGACATTGACAATGACAATCACGTGTTAAGTTCAGTATTGCCATAGTGTCAATAAGTGGACACACAGATAGTTGACCTATGTGAATATATCTTGAGTGTAGACTTTATAAGTTATTTGATAATTAGTATCACAAGATACCACATGAAGAGAAAGCTTTAAATTATTTCTATAAGTTATAGATGTTAAGCTCAAGTGGGAGCACTGTTCTACTGTATTTGGAAGGTTGCACAACTTTTCTGTGTAAATAAATTGATTATATCCTAAATCACAAATCTGTCTTCTTAGGTTCTGTGCTCAGCTCTGCATCGATCACCAAGTTATGATAACTTTATTGCATGACAGCTTGTAAAGTATATTAAAAACAGAAAGAGAGGATAAGATAAAGCTGGTTACATTTCATCAAGAATACTGAAAAATGCTGTTATAGAATTACTTGTGTGATATTAACAGGAAACAATACACTAGTCTACACTATAATCAAACAATAAATATTTGAGAATGATAAAGATGCACTTTATTCTTTAAGGGTCCATCATGATGTAAATGTAGCATGACAGTGTATGATTATGAGATTTAAATAAAATGTGAATCATCTTTTTTAAAAAAAGGACTTCTTAATATTGCTTCCTGCTAAGAGTTTAAGGCATTGATTCATTGTAAACATGGTAAAATAAATTCATTTCAATCTTGAAATGTTGATATTAGGGATAAATTGTCTTCATTTCAAATTATCAAGGGGGTTGAAGGAGAAAAATGTGCAAGGGTAATAAGGGTATTGTAAGCTAGGACAGTTCCTGATCAAGTTAATGGTCAAGTGCAGTATGCAAGATGTACATTATTTAAGAAATAAACAACAATGTTAAAAAGTTCTCTGGGAAATGAACTTTTGAGTTGGTCATGTGATCAAATCCTGTGAAGCCCGAGGGGCTTCTCAGTAGATTTGATCACGTACCAACTAAAAATTCATTTCCCAGTGAACTTTTTAACATTGTTGTTATGGCGTCGGGTTTGCCCAATCGTCATCTAGCGATCAGTCAGGTTTACGCGACCGCACGTGTCAGTGGATGCATCCGCAATAGAAAATAGCAACAGCTGTAAACCAGTTTCTTTTAAAACGTTCACAATGAATAATAGCTTGAATATAAAATTAAATCAATTGTATCTTCAATTAATACTACTACAAAACAACGATATTATGTTTAATTTTTTACGCAAGAAAAACGTTATGGTTGTTGCGGATGAATTTTTTGATATCGAATGACATGAATCACATTTTGGGACCGATTACTGTAATACAAACAATCTTAAATACGTTAAAATAATTACAAAATAAACACGAATACAACAAGACTATAAAGATTGAATTTCTTAATCTTAGCTTTACTTTTACGATCTTCAATCCAATTTTAGCCGAACAACCTACGATATTGACCAGTAATGCCAGTATTACTGTATTTATCCATTTCCTCCATTTGTTTACCGCGCCTTATCGTAAGTCACACTTGTAACATTAGAGTCATGGTTGTAGTTAAGATGCAATCACTATAGAACAGAACAACACTCTGACAATGGCAATTAATTAAAATAATTTATGAAACCCTTCATATGTCTTCGATTGACTGAAAAGAAAATAGATTGATATAGAGGATGGACTTTTCTGACGATGTCTGGTCAATTCGAACCCTGACTCATTCGGACCAGGACACAAGGCTATCAGGCCCTATACTGTATTTGTGTTAAGACTATTTTTTTAAAATTTTATTATTATGTTACTGGAGTCACTCACGACCTATTTGCAGATCTTTTGAAATTGTTTTTCTTGTTAGATGCCATTGAAGCCTTTCAGGCTTTTGATTTATTACTTATATTTACATTTGAAACTAATACATTTCGAGTTAAATTGTATTTATTACACGAACGGGCCAACGTATTGCTATATAGTGACACGCAATGACCTAGAAGTTGTTTGGTCAAAATATCACATCGCTCTGTGATCGTGTTATGACCTCTGACCCCCAAATGAAATTTACACAGAATTGAACGTATTTTCTCTTCAATAGGTTCATCTAAGAAAGATATTTGCAAATGTAAATATATAAAATTACAATGTTGCTCTTTCTGTATCATGATGAAAGGTTTGATTTTATTAAAACTGTGAACACTAGTTCATTTATATTTTAGTTCTCTTGAACTCAAAGCTAAATTGAGCTTTTTACAACATTTTGCTTGCGATGGGTTAAGTCTATGTCAGTATGAATTTTAAAACCATAAAACAAGAGTTTTTGATCAAGGTACTTTTTTTTCTTTCTGTATACTTTTACATGCATGAGTTCAAGCCAGTAAGGCTAGAGTCTCATCAGAGACTTCGGTTTCTAGTTGCCACATTTTTATTTTGATATTTGTAATTTTCTTTTTTGTAATTTTCTTTTTACAGATATAAGATCTTCATCCTGATATTTACTTTCCTGTGTTATACCAGCTATCACCTATCCAGGAAGCCAATTAGTGTTGTCAAGGTAATATAATCTGACCATGATCTACATCTATTATACTAACAATTAAAAAAAAAATCTGAGAAAATCCTCTCTAGAACAACTTAACGAGAAAGAAAGAAACTTGTGCAAAAGCTTCCTAAAGTTGTGTTGATTCTTTTATTAAAACTGCTCTATTCATTTCCCAAGGGATAGGGCTTGCATCACAATAGAGAATTAATTTTTTGCATAAAAGTAAAAATATTAGTCTCTCTTTCTTTGAAAATCTTATAAACAAACAATAGAACCATTAATTTGCAAACAATCCCAATTTTTTTAGGTATTTATGAGGGGAGTTGGGGTTCAAATCATGACCCTTAGGTTGGAGCTAGCTTAGTATCAAAGTTTGGATTACGCATGTTTACAGGAAAAGAATTTCATTTTCCATAACTGACATAATGACCAGGCCATGTTAGTCATATCTCTAATTCTCTATGGTGTGTGAGATACTAAGAGATCCCTAGAGTTAGGATTCAGGGGCTATAACATCATTATGGAGTCACAATTTTTCTTGGGAAAGAATCTTTTAAAATCTGATTTGAAGGACAGTAGGGCTAATTAAAGTATGTTAGGTGAGCATTAATTGGCCCATGGACCCCTTGTTTTTTAGACTTTGAAGCTAACAGCATACAATATTTGACATGGGATGACATAGGATGTTGATGAATTGTAAATCTTGAACTGTACTGAGCAGATAAAACCATTTAATAATCATTCTAGATGAATATGTAAATTGTTTAAAATTGCTCATTATGTTTTGACAGCATGAACTAGAGTAATCTTAATATCTGTAGGTAAAACAAGCATAATAAATATTTTCAGATATAAATTAGTTATAACAGTAACTCAACTCAATAGTACAGTGTATTAGACAATTTGCTAATATTCTAGCATTTCACGTCGCTAATTTTAGGTACCAGTACTTGAGGAGGTCAAGGTTTCCATTTGTACTGTTGCCTACAATTGTCATGTTGACCTCAGACTTGGTGCATGTTTAGTATGTCTGATCAGAGAGTGCTTTATAGAAGACTGTTAGAGAGGTTCTTCATTTTAGCCTTATCAAAAACGAGATTAGCTCAAAATAAATTTGTTCCCCAAGTTCTGGAATGTGTCAGATTCTCCCTACATGCTTCACATAAAGGTTGATACCAATTTCAGACAAGGTCTTACTGTCAGTCGTAGTTCTATCTTATTGGTTTTAGGGTTAAAAGCAAGGCCTTTGTCTCTTTGTGTCTAAGTATTTAGAGTGATAAAATGACATACTTTAAGATGTGCAATTAGAAAAAAAATATATAGCATCAAATAATCATTTGATTACCGGCATAATCAATAAAATTTCATTTTTAGAGTTTAATTGAAATATGACATGAAGTTAGTATGTGATCAAAACTACTATAGTGCTCTTACGGTGTTATAGAATTGGATCATGTGGCCAACTTCTTGTCATATCCCAATGAAACTCTAAAAATAATATTTTATTTCTTAAATAAAATAAATTATTCATCCTTTATTTTAAGTTCACAAATCGATCACTATGTAACATTTTAATAAGCTCTGAACACAAGAAAACAGCATGATCAAATGAAGAAAATCATTTTTTTTTCCATTATAGTTTAACTAAAAATACTTTATACCATGATATACTTGCTGGTATATGATTTTATACATCACCCTATGTTACATTTTATTCTTGCATCTCAGTACTTGTATATCAATAAATCTATATCATTGCACATGTAAACATGCAGTAATACAGACTTAATTTATTCATGTAAACCACATGTAAACCACACAATGATACACAATAAAAACTTTTACTCAAAGTTCAAGTTCTAAACATCAAGATTTTTTACCTATAAGCATATACTGTATGGGTTGTATGACAGTAATGACTCTGTCAGTTTTTATTTTGTACATTTAGCAATCAGATTAACTGATATTATTGTGTTTTTACAGAGTGTCCTGAACAGAAACTGCTCTGTGTCCTTGAATCATGAAAATCTCATCATCCATGAAGGAAATGACACCAAGTGGTGTGACTGGAAACCGTTTGGTAACCTACTTTTATCTTGTTCTTTAAACATAATTAATACAATAAAACACACTTGTAAATAATGCATAGATGCTTATAACAAAGTGAGTTTGATTCCCGTTGACTAAAACAAATTATAAATTAAATGGATATAATGGATACTCAATTACACATATAATAAAGCAAAATCATTAGTCCCTGCCACATTGTTATAAGTGGGTTTTACTGATTGAAGTACTAATTAAAAAGTTACGTTTTATCATTTGCATATAAAGGAAACATCTGGGAAATATATTTGCTATAAAAATCTTTCTTGCCTCGGAGGATGTATGTTTCCTAATGCTTAATATTTATTTTCTTTTCAAATATGTACCAAAATTTATTTAAATTTTCAATTTATTTTTCTGAATAAATGTAAAAATGAAGTTGAGAGGAGCTATTCACAACACAAATTTCAATTTATGTGTGTATATATAAGAGCAGTATGTTTACTTGGGGGGATGATATTTGTAATATGCATTGCATTTCTTGTGCTAGTTTATGTTTATAAAAGATTGTTATTTTTTATTCCAGACAAAGACAATGCAAATTCCCTCCTTGGGAGTCTTGACTTGGCATATTTATTTTCCTATGCAGTTGGAATGTTCCTCAGGTACATAAGCATGAATATAGTGGGAAAAAATTTCAAAGAATTTCCTTTCAAATTTATCATTTCTTGAAAATTTTGAAACTATCTAGGTACCACAATGGTTGATTCTCCAATCAGAGTTGCTTTAAAATCCCCCTCCAGTATAATTTTGTTTACCATTACCATAAGACTACAGTTAATTAAGTTGCTTGTTTTTTTTTTCCTTGAAAAAGGGTTCAGAAATTTTTCCAATACACCACTATCACTCTCCAGGTTTAAAATTTATAGCAGCATTGAAAAATACGAAAGAAAGAAAAATATTTGTGTGTTTTTCTTTCTCAAAGGAATTTTTCCTTTATCACCCAATAGTAGGGACTAATTAAGAACAAAAATGCCATACATTGTAAATACATGTATGTCTATCTATTACACACAAAATATACCAGGTATATGAAAGGATACTGTCTTTTCTTATTTGAGAGAATTTTGAACAGATGATAAACGTATTTTGAAAAGGATTTAGAAGCATTTTATTTTGAAAAGGATTTAGAAGCAGGGATAAGGTTTGCCACCTTAGTAAGTGTACCCAAACTTTTCAATTCAAAGGAAACTCTTTCATTCAGGATATTGACAAGAGATAGTAAAATCAATGTGACATGACCTTGAGAGATAGCTGAAGGTGACTGTGACCATCTACTGCGCACTTCTGGTTTAATGCTGATAAAGTGCTATTGACCCTAAGAAAGGGCTCCGGTGCCTTTCCTTATCTTTGTGAAAGTGGGGCGGTTTCTGTTATGTAACAAAGAAACCTTGACTCTATAGGTCACTGACCTGAAAATCTGTGTCAACCAGGATATGTGAAAGTAGGGGGAAATGTTACCATAAATCCCCAATTATTATTCAATAAATATTTGGCAATTTTGCATTTGTCATGTTTATAAAGATGCATTTGAATTATATATTCACACAGTGTCTGCTGACATCAATTTAACATATACCAGTATTAATGTAAAACAATTTTACATTGATGATAATCATAAATCTTTTAATTTTTTAAATCATATATGCATTTTTAAAGACCTTGAATCTATTATTTGTATTAAATTTAGTAAAATGACCTAGAATATTTTAAGCAATAATAAATTTTTATGAAATTATCTGAATATAAAGCTTAATTCTTGCATAACATTCTTAATTACATGATTTTTCCTCATTCTGAATTTTTATTTATTTATGTTTTATTTAAAAAAAAAAAACACTTGAGGTGAATTAAATCGCAAAATTTAGAAACAGTATATGCATTATTAAGCATTTTGATCCAATTTCATGACTGAGTTTTTGGTCTTAGTCATAAATTCTTTTGAAAAACAGGTCCCAGGCTTTCAGATATATGGTACACCTAGGCCTGTGAATACTTTGATGAGATGATGCTTTGATTGTGTTCTTCCATGAGAGTAGGGGTTTCCCTAGGATAATTGTATTTTTAACTTGTTGATGATTATAAAGACATGGATTTCTGTTTTTAGTGGCCACATAGCAGAGAGGATGAACCTGCGGATATTCTTATCCATGGGCATGATAGGCAGCGGTATCATGACGGCCATGTTTGGGATGGGGTACTTCTGGCAGATCCACTCCCTTGCGTTCTACATAGGAGTGCAGGTGACAGAGTCAAAATAACTTGCACAGCTAATTTAATCTGCATATTTGGTTCAAGGATTTTTCATTTTTGAGTAGCAAGAGGTTTTTTTATTTGTTTGTTTTTTGTTTTTTTTTTTAATTTTGAATTATTTGTAAAATGATTGTGAGGGATTTTTATTTCAGGTGATTGGGGGATTATTACAGAGTTCTGGTTGGCCCTCAGTTGTAACATGTGTGGGGAACTGGTATGGAAAGGGAAAGTAAGGCATTTTTGTTTGTTTGTATATTAATAAATACATGTATTGTATACCGGTATTTTGTCTTCAAATATCATTGATGCTTAGCAATAGCTTTTATTTTAATTCCATGTACAAAGTCAAAGGTCTTCAAATTCTTTAATTTTTATCAATTATTGATGATTTTTTTTAAGGCGAGGACTGATCATGGGAATCTGGAATTCCCATACCTCTGTGGGGAACATCCTGGGATCACTGATAGCCGGGATCTTTGTGAACTCTGTCTGGGGATGGTCCTTCATAGTCCCGGGGATCATCATTGGATCCTTAGGAATCCTTGTCTTCCTGTTCATGGTGCCAAGTAGGATCTGTTTTAGAATACATTTAAGATTTTAAGTTTACTTGAAACTTGAAAAAGATGCCTGATGGTCAGAAGAGCTTTTCTGATCTAAGATTGTCCGGTTATCTTCTTCAATGCAATGGTTGTATTTGCATGAAAGTATCCCTTCTGTTGTAGATTCAGTACTGTTCAGATCCCATATGATATGGATGTAAGACACATATTAAGGTTTACAAAACATTTTTATTGATTTGGATTTTGGTTGATGTTCTGATGATCTATGTTTTTTTTTTCTTTGTGAATTCAAATTAATATGATTTAGAACCAAAAGAAAGCAGTGTTTTGTACTATATAAGCAATATTTAAGCAAGTAATCAATTTTTGCATTTTTAACCAGGTTTTTGAGATTGCCCTTATTTACTTTTGCCAAGAATTCAATCAGCATTACAAATGAATTGCATTTCTTTACAAAATAAAATTGCAAAAAGTATATAATTACAGCTAAAATGAAACAACAGTAATATTTTATGACAAATTGCTGATACAAGCTTACAATTTAATTTATTCATACTGTATAAATTATTAATGCAGTAATTTTAAAAAAGGTATGAAACAATCGCATGTTTTATTGTGGAAGATGCCATATACCCTAAGAATGAAAAGAATCTACAGATATATGTAACTAGACACTTTAGTGTTAAGCAGCCAATTAAATTATTCATAGTTTGCAGAATCACTGAAGTAAAGCTATTGTAAAATTAAGATTAGTCTAAACAGAACCAAATTCTTGTAGAATTCAGATTGAACAGAGATGTACTTATCTCAGTCTTAAATTCACATGTCTTATCATCAGGATTGAAGTTTTCAGATGAGCATTGTGGCCATTAGGCCCCTTGATAATTCTGTCAAGGGAAAGATGTAAAGGATTTTTTTTTCAAATATCAGTATAATCTGATATAAATTGAATATAAATGCTGTACACATAATTTAACTTATTTTCCTCTTCTTTCTCAGCTCCTGTTGAAGTAGGATGCGATTTGCCTGATCAAACAATCTCAACTAAGGTAAGTTTTATGCCAAAATTTATTTTAGAAATTGTAAACATTCAATGTATTTTGCAAAAGTGACTTGACCTTTCTCATTTTCATCTGTAAAGCATTTCATGAGTTGATTTTAAAATATTTACTTTTTTAATTGTTTTCTCTGTGATAACTCTTTGAAAGCTAGTAGAGTTGATTTCTTGATCATTCTGTTGGAATGTAAATCTCACCAAGCAATAAGTCGGGAGCTAAGGAGGCCTAATATGCATGTAAATCTCTTGCATCTGTCTCTGTGTCTTACACTGTAAAGGCCTTATATATATGCATTTAAATCTCGTGCGGCTGTCTTTGTGCATGACGTCAGTGGGCTGGGACTATTGAGATGGCATGGGAGGCCCCCTGTAAATTTAATCTATTAGTCTATATTTTTAAAATCTATAAATTTACAATTTTATTTCACAATAAAATGGAAATATAAGAAATCACTGTCTAGGTAGTAGAGTATGCCAGGGCATCAACAATAGTTGGAAAAGTGGGATAATTTGCATAACTGGCAAAGCACACAAGAATTTTCACTTACATATACCTTTAATTGTATTTTAGATTGTACACTGGAACAGATATATTACATGAATTTCTTAATACCTAGAGTAGATGGGAAGCATTAAGTAACATAATGATGAATAAAATTACTCTCTGTTATCTAATATAAATGATATCATTTGTTTAGATACAGTATACAGAGGAGGCCTCAGAAAAGTCCGATTTGGTAAGTTTTTCTCAAAGAGGTCATGTACTCTTCCATTCCAGTTCCCTTAATCAGTTCTCCACATCAGTATTATGTATCATTAAAATGACGTCTTCTGATATTTTTCTGGTTTATTTCATGTTATTTATAAAATCTAGCATTTAATATATATATAATATATAATATACATGTACAGTATTATATGATTGTAATGATTAATCATAAAATGATTTCAGAATGGAGAAAGTTATATGGTAAAAAAATATTGCACAGCTGTCATTGAGAGAACTAATTTTTGCTCTTATCATATCAATATATCCTGAAAAAAAAATTGCTTGTCCCAAAAAGATACTAATTAAACTCTTAACAGTCACTTTAATTATAGTAAATGCCACTCATTAACATTTGATGTATAATGCATGGAGATGCTCTAACTCATTAATAATTACTTAATGCACTAATCTTTCAATATTTTTGACGATTGATTGAATTGGCTTGATTTTTTTTTTTTTAATTGAAACAGGAAATTACAAATGAAGTTTGTATGTTCTTTTAAGTTGAAAAAAATGAAGGAGAAAATATATGATAATGAGGCATTCAAAACTTGTGACCAATTTGAAATGATTTAAAAAAGTTTATTTCAATTTCAGCTGTTAAGAGGGGTACTGTATACAAGGTTATCTTTGTCCCATGTTATATGCACCCTTTGGCACTAGCAAACAGAATCAGTTATGAAATCTTTCTTTTTGCACTGAATAAAACAAAATATTTCTTTGCAAATAAGAACAATTTATTCAAAATCATTGTTTATATGTTGTAAAACAAAAAATAATAACTCAATTGGTGTTAATTATTATTTATTTCATATCTGTTTTATATTTGCCCACTTGTGATAAACCAAAAAATAAACAAAAAAAAAACAAAAGTCAGAATATTTGTGTGAAAATTTCCCTGTGATATATGTAATTGTACATGGAACAATATAGGGTACATAGTTGCACATAAGTGTGAATGTTGTCAAGTTTATTGTAATTAAAGTTGGATGTTTGTTTCCATAGCCAAAAGAGATTGGCTTTATACCCATGGCCATTGTTTGTGAAAAACCAGCTGTCCAAGTTTGTAAAGGACTAGTAAGAATGAGTTTAATTGGCTAGTTACATTGTACACTGTAATCTAGCTCTTGAAAGACTTGTCTGTTAAACCTGTGATGAAAAAGTCTCCTGTTAAAGGACAATATGAAGGGATGAATAATCCCAGATTACAGTTTACATTAGATTATTATTAAATAAAAAAAATGCTATAATGGCAGTGGGTATAGGCTCAGGGATGGCTTTTATTACTTCAAAACAATGTTTTATCCTTTGAGTTATTTAACCAAAATTCTTTCTGTTGTAAAATTTTCTTGATTGCATCAATATTCAGCAAGGGTTAATAAATTCATGAAGGGATTTTATCATTTTATTTTAGAATGCAAGGTAATACAGTACATGTATACTGATATATTTGTTGTGATTTTTACAAAATCCATGCTATCTTTGATGATTTTTTTTTTTGTTTTGGTGTGCCATCCCTGAGTATAACAGCTTACATTGATATAGCTGCTAGAAAAAAAAGAATGTAAGAGTCATCATGTTACAACCTGTGTTTAGTGGGTGTGAGACTATGAGTGGAATATACAAAATTAATTACTAGTATATGTTATGATATTGTACAAGAAGCAGCTTATGCAATTAAAGATTGTGTGTGAGGTACATGATAATTATAATATAATGGTACAAATAAAATAAAGAAATATATATATCGATATATAAAGGTACTCTCAAACTGTTGCAGGAGGATGACCCCTTGATAGAGTCACTTAAAAGCATCAATCGAAGTGCCGTATGTCATAACACTAAAAATTGCTTGCACAGTTATCTAAAGTTTTTCACACCATTCCAACCATTTTTTAATTTAATTTAAAGCACAAAATTATTTAAAATAGTTCATCAAAGATTCACCATGTTTAGCCATTAATTAACACACTAACCAAAATATTTTCACCAAGGATGCTTTGATTTTCAACTAACACAAAGTTTATTCACTATTAAGCTCTTGTTTTTCAGTTAACAGTTTTAAAATTAATACCTGAAAACAGGTTATTTTTATGGAAAAAATATATATATATATACACCAGGCAAATTGTGTGCTTCAGTGCTGTAAATGGAAAAATATGTTTTAGCTTCAGTCAGATTTCCTATTGCAGGAATTGTGATGTTGTGTTTGATAATGCATTTACAGTATGTTTGAACCCACCATTATAACCAAACTAACCCTTGCTTGTTTCATAACCATCCTGTAGAATAAATTCATAATTATTACTATCTTAAGTGATACATGTACTTAAAAGTCTTTGTCATTAACAGTGATGTCATATATAAATTTATAATGCAAAATTTTACATATTTTTATCAACTTAAAATAATTTGTAAATTGGTCAAGATAATGAAAATCACTTCATTTGAAAAATTGTGCATTGAGAATATGAAATTATATCACTTTGACTGTTTTATTTTAGGAATATGGGACAACAAATAGCCAAACCTCATTGGTTTCTTTGGACAAAAAAGAAAAGCCCATATCCATTCTACGCGCACTTATGATTCCAGTAAGTTTTGGTCATTGCAGCATAGTCATTTCACATAAAATCAAACCAATTATGTCAACAATTTAAATCAATTTTTCAAAAAGTCAAGAAAATGTACAGTACCTAACGAGTTCTCATTCTGCTTGTAGGGAGTGGTGGAGTTTTCTCTGTGCCTTTTCTTTGCCAAACTTGTTAGTTATACATTCCTGTATTGGTTACCTAAATACATTCATGTCAAAGGTAAGTAGTACAGCATATACAGCAGACATAGGGACCTGCCAAAGTACAATGTCTGCACAGTTTACAAGCTTTGATTGATAGTATTTCTAAGACATGTCAAATTGATCTTTTCAGATAAATTGTTAATGATTGTTTATCGTGGTTAGGTGAAATGGATTTTCACATTGTATAAGCTATGGATTTTTGTAAGCATTTTTCCCATATTGTTGGAATTAATTATTATTCCAAGGAAAATTGAAACAATGGTAAAGTAATAAATAACTTTGACTGACCCCTGCATTTTGTGTTTTAGCTAATTATGACCCAGAGAAGGCTGCAGACATCTCCACCCTGTTTGATGTGGGAGGAATTTTTGGTGAGGGATAGACACTTTTATTGTTTTGTACATGTAGTTTTATGAAAAAAAGTCTAAATATGCACCTACACCTTTAAAACATTTATTTAGAATTTTGCATTTAGGAAAAATGTTTTTTGTCATGATGTTTTATTTCAGCTTTACAGACGTGATTTTGTTTTAGGGGGAAAATTTTATAGTGTGTTATTATGTTTTTCTGTTTGTATTATAATATATAATACATATACTTATATATAAAGGGTGTTAAGAAAGTTCGTTCCACATGTTTATTTATTTTCAAAAAGAAATACGATGAAAAGATTATTACAATTTGTGATATTTCATGTTTAAATGATAAGGCTTTTGAATTTTAGGTATTAAAAAAGATGATGTCTGTTCAGAATAATTATGGATGATGCATATTTGTGACATATATGTAACACGCAGGTCAAAACATCCTTTCAAATACTATGCAAAAAATTATCAAATCTGTAAAATATTTCAAAATGACAAACCTATTCTATTGAAAAGTGGGCTTAGCCACCATGTGTTATTATGCAGTAAATTATCCTTTATTTACACTCAAAGTGACCAACATTTCTATCATTCGGGTGCTTTAAAGATATTATATATTGTTTGTTATGGAAGAAAAATCCTATAATTTCCAGCTAGAAATGATTTGCTATAAATCTAAAGCACATGATTTTACTTGAAAATTCATCTTTTATATATAAAATATATACCAAATTTTTAACACACCTTATATATATTTATAATATACACTAAAATAAAATCCAAATTTTTTTTATTATTTCTCATCAGGAAACCAATTTTTTTTTTTTTTGGTTACATCTTTTTTTTATCATTTTTATTCTAAAAAATAACTGATTTTAGGACCAGCTTGAAAATGCTTTAACAACATAATCTGAATTTATTTTGTTTCCAGCTGTATATTTATAACCTGTATGGCAGTATTAGCTTAGCACACAGCATAGGTAAGTATGGACAGGATTTTAATTATTGATGTACAAAAAAAATACATAAATGCTTAATACATACCATAATTGTGAATGTAAATACACATACCTCATTTTATAAGGTTTTTCAAGAACAGCCATTATAATCAATGAAAGTTTAACTGTTATTGATTATATCAGTGTCCTGTGTTTTGAATGATTCAGACATAATTATGAATGTTCACCTCTTTATTTCAAACTCCATATTATAAAACTTTTGATCAATTTTGCTATGTTCAAGGTGGCTAAATTTTTATTCTATTATATTTGTAACCTCATAGATGTAGTACCACAGCATTTTAAGTGTGGATTAATTTTCAGGTCTCTCTATGTTATGTGGGTTCTTTGTTAATGGTCCCTATGCTCTGATTACCACTGCCATTAGTGCAGACTTGGGCACTCACAAAAGCCTACAGGGGAATTCCAAAGCCTTGTCAACTGTCACTGCCATTATAGACGGAACAGGAAGTATAGGTCAGTGTGTAATATCCAGTCTTACTTTGATGTCTGTAATATGTCTGATTTATCTTACTTTAATACTTTACACAATTTATTCCTTAAAAATGTTCAGGGCTTTTATGAGCTGAACTTTTTCTGCCATTTATTTCAATTTTGGCAGATACAAAAAAAAGTAAATTTTTTTAAGCATTTTAAAGGGTTAACTCTAGAGTACACTTGTGAAACAGATAAAATGCAAATAATGCATGAATTTAATAGCCCTGAAATACCGAAGAAGAAAGCTTATCATATAAAACTAATACATATCCTTATCAATTTTAGATTGAAAAGTGAATAGATTATAATTAATTGTCAAAATTTGGTTTGTAGGAGCTGCAGTAGGCCCCCTATTGGCTGGCGTGATTGAATCCTCTGGCTGGAACAATGTCTTCTACATGCTGATTGGTTCTGATGTGATGGCTTTACTGGTAAGCTCGTACATTACATATCATCGGGAACGGGATAAGGTTCAGGAAAATTTCCAAATCGTCCAGTTATACATATCAAATGAACTCGGTGAAACTTTCAGATTGTTTGTCAGGAGGGTTAAAAACATGGATTGGTTTTCTCTTGTCTCTTTTGGGTTTGTTTTCTTGATGACTTTTATATTGTATTTGAATTTTGTGTATAATTTTTGATAGCATGACAGTTTAGGAGTTAATTTAATTGTTTTTTTTTTCATTTATTTGATTTACATATTTGAATAATTATGTTGGTGATATAATATTAGTGTATGCAATATATAATGTTTGTTTTAAGTGTGTTATTTTATTAATTTTGATCAAAGGAAAATTCAATTGTGATACGTTTTGAGCCATTGAATAACTGAATAGTGCTATATTATTTTTGTAAATTTTTTGATAGTAAGAATCTCATTTACACTTACATGTATTTACATTGATTTTACTTGCAGAGGAAATTATATAAAAAATAAATTATGCATTTAATTTCATGACCCACTCGTCTTTATTTTTGATTTTATTTTTCGCCGAGTGGAAAAGTAGAATTAAACCATGAAATGGTATGTGCTAAGTATTCCCAAAAAATGTTCACAGATATCCTTGTAATTGTTTTGTATTCTCAGCCTCAGAGTTCTTTACTATACCTTTTAAAATTTTCCTCACCTACAACTTGCAAACTTGCAAACTTCCATGTTTGTCTAAAGCGAAAGTGAAAAAGAGGCAGCTTTTTGCGAGTCATTATTTTTTTATTAAAAAATAATTACTTCGTATTGACCAATCAGATTACCGGATTTCACAAAGTTATATAATATTAGTGTATGTGATATATACCGTAATGTCTGTTTTAAGTGTTATTTTATTCATTTTGATCAAAGGAAAATTCAGTTGTGATACATTTAAAGCTATTGAAAAATTGAAAAGTGCTATATTATTTTTGTAAATTTTTTGATAGTAAGAATCTCATTTACAGTTACATGTATTTACATTGCTTTTGGCATAATAAAAAATAAATTGTGCATTTAATTTAAAAGGCATATCATTGAAAATTTTTATATTTTATTCCAAAAACATATTTTGCATCACTGAGAATATACAGGTTTCGTCTTGTTAAAAAGAATTCCATGACTGATAATGTTTCTCATATAATAATATATTCTTGAAATTGATTTAGAAATATTTATGGCTGTCCACTTTCATTTTTTAAAATTGTTTATTATCAAACTGAACTGTTAAAGAGAGAAATCTGTATTTAAAAATCAAAGTTAAAAATCAAAATTTTTTTTAGGAAATATTCCTGTTACTTAAATGGAAACATGAAGTTACAAACTACATGTAAATGCCTCCTTTTAATAATCATAACTTTAGCAGAAATGTACAATATTTTAAACAATGCAAGGAATAATCTTATCAAAGTAACATTACATGACTGAGGAACAACACCATACAAACAAGGTTGCACTCATCTATCATCTCATGCTATCTTAAAATTATCATCTCATTGTATCTAATTATTTTCTTTGATATGCAGAAAATACATTTAATTAATATTTACTTACCTGTTCATATTAAGAATTTTGTTGTCTTTTAATTGTTATAGTTCTCTAATTAGAATGGGTTACAGGCATAATTGCACATAGTTTTACCTAGCTTATTTTCACAACCTTGGTTTTTTGACCACTCCAAAACCATTGGGCCAATTTCGACCAAACTTGCCACAAAGCATCCCTTATTGAATAGGATGCAGGCTTTTCAAATGAAGAGTCATATCCTTTTTAAGGGAAATTTATAATTAGGAAATACGGTAGTGATATTGACTAAAGTCATTAAAAAATTTGCAGTTGGCCTAAAATGACAAAATTAGTAAAATTAATTTGTGATCAAATAACGGACCAAGGAGCTAAGTTTTACATTTGAATATATATATAGTGTTAAGAAAGAAAAGGTCTCAATTAGCTTAGAGTTTGATGAGCTTTTTAGTATAGAATAAATTCATGCAATTAAGTTTTGTCCATGGATAGCATATTATACAATGTTATACAGAAATAAAATGTTTCCTAAGAAGTGTAGATTAAGCCTCAATGTTTATGTTAACAAGGACTGACTTAAAATAAATATAAGCTTATCACAATATACCGATACATTGTAAATTTTTGATAGGGTGGTCAAGTGAGTGCTAGCAAATATGTCTTTTTTACTCGAATATGCCCAGTCAAACTCATGGTTGGGCATTCAAATAATAAATACTGTCAATATTGTTTCATCAGCCAAAAATACACTTCATTACCTGAAGTTTCATATTTTGCGGTTTTTCCTGTGTGTAAAAGTACCAGTATCTTATAAATCATAAATTGCATTATAAAAGTTCTCTCAAGGTACTCAGAGAATGTAAACATTCATCTATTCAAAAATTATTCCGTATTTAACATCTTACTAATCACTCCTCATGTACATGATGTTGATTTTTGTTTATAATCTAACACAGTTACATGTATATGTATAGTTCTGAAAATCTTCATAACTTCAGTCAAAATTTGGAATTTCTTATATGTCATATACATATACTTTAAATATCATTTGGAGTCTGTCTTTTCTATTGAGTTTAATGTCTATATTATAATGCAAGTTGAACAAATTTTCTGACCCTCACCTTTTTAGATATTTTAAAATGACAAAACAATTGTATGAAATTTATGTTAATTGCTGCTACTGGCTTTTAACTTTTGTATTTATTTATTAATATATACCGGGGGTATGCATATCTTGTTTTGTTTTCTTGGTATTCTGTATTTGTGTTATTTCTAGGAATTGCTGAAATTAATGAAATGCAAATTGATCTTTTACTAATTAAGTCAATTAACTTTTTCCCCAAAATAATTCATGAATTTACATTATTTTAATAGGCATTTTTATTTTCTTTGGGTTGCATGATATACCAAAGAATCACAGAGTAACAGCATTTTCTCTTTTCCCACAGCTTTTACTGCGCCTATTTTACAAAGAGATGGTTGCCCACTTTGGTAGAGGTACCGCCGTTAGCTAACCCCCGTCTCCTGTGACCTTGAACATGACTGATCTCATTAAGGGGACACCCGGGCCCCCCTCTACTGTGATAGCAGAGATTTTTGCCAGCTTAATTTTTCCACGTTTCCTTTTGTTTTTAGTGACAAATTCATTTTATTTTCTTTCTTTTTAATGAGAAAAAGAAAAGAAAGCTTGTAAATTTTTTAGAAGACTTTCACAGTTATAAGAATTAACTTTAGTTTTCAGCACAACAATGATTTTTTTCTTACCGGGTACATGTACTATATTGTAGAGGGAAAATGGGTTGCATTGATTGAACCCAACTAAGGGAAATAACTCTTTTAAATGAGATAGTTTTCTTTTTGAAAAATATATTTAATTATTAAATCCTGCAATAGGTTGTACAAATTTTTTTAGGATTTAGAACTGATGAAAAAAGCATGAAAATTTTCAAAATGATTTTTTTAAAATTACTCTTTACTTGTTAATCAAAAAAGTACTTAAGAGATTGGGAGAAAAGAGATTTTTTTGCTACCTTATTGAGAGATTTTCTTTACCTATTCACCTCAGTTATGGCGATAAGACCTTTACTTACCTGTACATATTAATCATTTTCACCTCACTACTTACTTGTATACAGTCACAATTTTATGTCACCTTGTGGGATTTTCTTTTTTATTATTTTTACCACAATATTATGGCAATTAATCTTAGTAATATAAACATTTTAGATTTTATATCACTTTTAATATCCCAAGTTATTTCCTTTCTGTCTATACACATGTATATACATGTACATTTGTTTTACATTTGTCATTCAAGCTCTTTTAGCTCTTTTTAAAAAAAGAAGTGAAAGTTACAACAGGAGTTTGTTAATTAATTTTCTCACTTTGTCAGAATTAATAGCATTATTTAGTCATGGTTATAGATACAGTTCCCATTATTTTGATTCTGTGAAAAGTTTTAAAATATTATGTTAATCCATGGAATTTTTTTTAAAAAATATGTTAAAACTGAAACTTGATTGTTTAGATGACATTGATCAGTATACTTTTCTTTTTAAAAAGACTTGATTCTTAAAGAAAATACTTTATGTCAAGTACCATTTTGTTATGATTTTAAAGTTGCTGCTTTTGATAATTTACTGTTAAATTTTACATTCTAGAGATCTTTGTTTGATATTTAATTTTAATGGACACAATTTAAAAGATGGAAATTAAAACTATTAATTTTCATTTACATTTGAAGATTTCCTGTTTGTTTGTTAAGAAAATTTGATGAATTTTCTATAATAGAATCCTCTTTTTTTCTCTGTAAAATAGAACATGTTTACTCATTGGTTCAAAAGTTGTTAAATGTGAATGTATATTAAACTATTGTTACAACATTGTATTGACAGCATTTTATACTGAGGGAATATGATGTATGACACATATTAAAGAAAATATTGTTACAATATTTCAAATATCTTTTTTATTTATCCATCACAATTTCTATGCAGTTTGTGAATACAATAAAAGAGCTTCATGAAGGCATAACAGTAAGCTCAGTGATAAATGAACCAGGGAATACAAAATTGGAAGGGAGGGGGATCTTTCTATGAATACCTAATTGTCATACCCTAAAACCTTGAAAATAAGCCATGGCTTATTTTAAGTTTTGATAAGAAAATGGGGGCTTTTTTTCAAAACTGTCTTTAATATTTTTGTCCCCCGCTTGAAAAGTGGGGGATATTAATTTGGGTTTGTCCGTCCGTCCGTCCGTCTTTCTGTCTGTCTGTAACGGCTTTCGTTTCCACACGATATCTCGAGAACCCTTTGAGCTTTTGCAATGAAAGTTAGCATAGCAACTCCCTATGGACTAAAGAAGACCCCTATTGATTTTGAGGTCAAAAGGTCAAAGGTCAAGGTCATAAATAAGCAAATTCTGTCTGTTAAAACATCCACACGATATAGAACCATTTGAGCTATCGCAATGAAATTTTACATAACAACTCCCTGTGGCCTAAAGAAGACCCCTATTGATTTTGAGGTCAAAAGGTCAAAGTTCAAGGTCGTAAATTTATACATTCTCTCTGTGTGTAACACTATCATTTCCGGGCGATATTTCAAGAAGATTTTGAGCTTATGCAATGTAATTTTATACCAAAACTCCCTAGGACGTCTCTCGCCCCTCTCAAAGTGCCCCGCCCCGTTTGTTTTATTAGTATTTATAGTATTACATGTCGCTATTTTTAGCGCAGGGGCATGAGGAGAGTTATTGCGTATAAAACAGGTTCTCGGCGGACTTTATGTTCTTATTACATCTATTATAACTGTTTAATAAAGGCTAAATAAATCAAACACCATGGATTGTGTAAAATTTTGAGAATACCGAACATGAAAACATGAATATATACATGTATGTGACTTCAGTTCTGCATATACTTCAGTCCGGGTAAAGCGACTCCGTGGTCCAGTGGTTATGTCTCTCGCTTCAAATGTGAGAAGCCCCGGGATCGAATCTCGGTTGAACCTTTCTTTTTTTTTTTTTTTTTTTAAATACTTTTTTTTTTACTAAATGATAGTATTCAGCATGTGAAATGAAAAATTTATGAGGTTATAAAATCATCATTACAGTGTGATAAATATTCCATATAAAAAAATCTTCTATACACACAATAAAGAATAAGCAATCAAATCTTTATATGCATATTGACATACATGTATTTTATTTCCTTCAGTATACATGTATACATTTAATAATTCTACAAATTCAGTCAGGGGGAGCCGACTTTTTCCCTAAGCGGGGGACACGAATTCTCTGAATTAGCTTGTTCAAATTATGGCTTATCAATACACTGGTAAGGGACCAGAGCACAATCATGGATTATTATCAGTGCAATAAATTATAATCAATATATTGAAAACTACATGTTCCTCCTAAAAATAAAATTTCCAGGTAAACTTATGTCAGAGTGTAATGAAAAGTGTTCAAATATTTTTAATTCTGCATGGGTGCCCTTTTTAGTAAGCTTTTACTTGGTTTTAGCAATGGAGACTGCTAGACATATTCCTATTCCAAGGGAAAAAAACACAGTTTCCTAAAAAACATGACTGGCTTATTTTCAAAACAGCCTTATTTAATAAAAGAGTTATTTTAAATGCCAGAAATACATGTAAGTAGCTTATTTTTGAAACCGGCTTATTATCAAATTTGTCTTATTTTCAAGGTTTTAGGGTATTGTATGTCTCCATGGTGAACAGCATGATTTGACTCTTTTCGTTTTAAGCCTCCTGTATGAAAGTGGAAAAGACAGACATGCACAAGATTTACATGCACATTAGGCTTCTTAGCTCCTGACCTATCATTTTGCCTAATTTACATTCTGGTAGAATTATCAAGAAATCAACTCCACTAACTTTCAAAGAGTTGTCACAGAGAAAACAAATAGAAAAGGAAATATTCTAAATTCAAAACATTAATTTTTATAAACATTCAAGTGGAAAAAGGTTTGAGTATGAAGCAAGGCTTTTTTTTTCCCCAAATAAAAAAATGTCTATTAAACAATCTTATGAACAATTTTTGAAAAAGTAAAAAGAAAAAGAACTAATGAAGTATTACATGTACAACATAAAATTGTCAGGATACCCATAAGAGATCAAACGTGGGTATAAACAGTTAAATTAAAAAGGTGTTTGTGAAACACTGATGCCCCCATATGGCAGCTCTTCGTGAAGTTTCTCATATGCCAAGGTAAAGGTCAAAATTTCAGATTTGTTATTACCAACAGAAAGGACATGTCCAGGAATAAACTTGTGAAAATGAATGTCCAAACACCAACCATTCAAAAGCCAAGATTAAGGTTTAGGTCAAAGGGTCAAAATACATGTAAGTGCTAGCCAGGGGAGCCCTAGCGATATAAGATGAAAACATAATAAGATGTGTTTGTGAAACACTGATGTCCCTGTACGGCAGCTTATGTCGAGGACTGAATTTTCTCAAATGAATGACAACTCCAAAGGTCAAAAGTGTTGGTACCCAAAGTAAGGATCTTGTCATAAAGAATACACCTGTGAAATATGAAAGCCCTAGCTCCTACTGTTGAAAAGTAATGGCCAAGGTTACAAATTCAAAAAAGTGGGTCAAACTCTAAGGTCAATGTCAAAAATATTCATACCCACTGAAAGGTCTTCTCACAATGAATACACATGTAAAGTATGAAAACCCTTCTTCAACTGTTCAAGAGTTATGGCCAAGGTTAAAGTGTGGTATTTAGAGGTCAAATTTGGTGGTACCCAAAGAAAGGTCTTGCCACAAGAAACACACCTGTGAAAAAAACGGTTTGAAATGCATAGCCCCATCCATTCAAAAGTTATGGGCAACGTTAAAGTTTTTGCAGACAGACGGACAGGTCAAAAGCTATATACCCCGAAAGTTCGTTCACGGGGGCATAAAAAGAAAAGCCCTAGCAACAACTATTCAAATGTTATGGCAAATGTTTTTCAAAGGCAAGTTCTACTCCAAGGTCAAGGCCAAAAGATCAAAATTGTTCAGTATTCAAAGGTCTTGTCACAAGGTAAAACATCTGTGAAATATGGGAGACCTAGTTCTAACCACAGGTGCTAGAGGACAGGACCCCCCCCCCCTTTCGATATAGACCCCTGGGCTTTTACGATTTTTTTCTCATAAAAAATCTTTCATTGCCATATTTGTGATAAGATCTATACCAGCAAATCGAAAAATTCCCTAAAACAAACGTTCTATTAAATCTACCCTACATTCTCTATATAAAAATCAACTTAATCAACGTTAATTTATATATAGAGAGGGTAGATATTTTTATAAAATGTATAAGTTTACGCAAATTTTCTGAATTGATAGGACAGACTATATCACAAATGTGTCATACATATATAATTTATGTGAAAGATGTCTAACAGGCCCGGGGGTCTATATTTAGGGGGGAGGGGAGTTCCTGTCCTCAAGCACCTGTGGTTCTAACTGTTCAAACATTACGGACAAGGCTCAAGTTTTCAAAAAAAGTGGGTCAACCTCAAAGGCCAAGGTCAATAGTATTTATACTAATGGAAAGTTTTTGTCACGATGAATACACAGGTAAATATATTAAAGTCCTAGCATCAATTGTTCAAAAGGTATGAAGTTTGGAAATTTTTTTTTCCTAAAGTGGGTCAAACTCGAAGGTTAAGTGAAGAGGTAGCATTGAAGGAATGCAATTGGTCAAAGCTCCAACCGATCAAAAGATATGAGCAAGATAAAAGTTTTTTCGGACAAATTGACAGCAACACAGACAGACGGGTAGAGATAAGTCATATATTAATTCCGAAGAATCCTCAGACTGCGTAGATTCAAATTATTCAAAGTATATTCTCGAGGGGGAGGGGTGGAAGGTAGAGGCTAGTCCGAAATATCTGACGTTTTCCAGTCTTTTTACGAATTTGATATTTTACGTGCCCTTATGAAAACTGGGAATTCGCCGCCTCAACCTGGAGGCGGCATTCTCAGGTTGATTTTCGACATTTGCGAACCGAATTAAATGCTGGATCCACAAATTATCAGTGGTACAATGTCTGAAGTACTCGCAAACATCTTTTTATTGTTAGTTTATAAAATATACAGTCCTGTGAAAATATTTTATCATACCGTTGAGTTTTGTTTTCATTTCGTGCATTTTAAAATCTTGCAAGATATAGCCTATATATCGAAATGTGGAGTGATATTTTCTTTTCATTGATATTGGTGCTATTGATTAATTGTAGTTTCGACATTTAAAGGCTCCGGTTGGAGACAGCGAAATTTCCAGTTTTTATAATGGCGCCGGTTCTGACGTTTTCTTGGCACGTAAAATTTCGTGAAAAAAAGCCTGGAAAATGTAAGGTATTTCGGACTAGGTAGAGGCCAGAATAGGAGATCAAGCGCATAGAAAAAAATCTTTGAAAACGTTTAAAACCATTATAAGTAAAATATAAAAAATACGAAAGCACCTTCAGTATCAAAATCCTTTCTTGGGGGGGGGGGGGGGAGGGGAGGGGAGAAGGGGTGTTTGTGAACAAATATAATTATATTTAATCTTTTCAGTACTTAAATTTCTGCTTTTTCTTCAGCCATTGAACATGTACTCAGGTGAGCATTGTGAACCATAGGCCTCTTTTTTAACGTCAGTTAGGAGTGTAAAGGGAAAAGAGGATTAATCTTTGGAGAAATCTTTAATCTGATGACGACAAAAGATGTGTTTTTTAAACCTCAGATAATACCGATTTATACTGTAGCATGAGTACATACATCATTATGTAGTTTTTGTCATTCAAATATAAACTAAAGTCATATAAAAATTCTGTTTTACATTCTTCCTCATTATATCCGGCGGAAATTTTTTTTGTTTACTTGTCAAAATGTAAAACATGTTCATTAAAACAGCTAGAGCCTAGTATCGTTTTCTTACAAACTTTTCCTACAGA